TTTTTCATTAAGAACAGTCTAGTTGACAATAACAATCTGTAAACATCTACATATGGCATACCTCAGACAAGGATGGATATTACGACCATGAGAAATATGAGCATCTTGAGCAATAATGTTTGAGTCCCAGACAAGTTATTTAAGAGCGAGCGCAGGTTGACACGCAAAGCATTGATCCGGCGCACGTTACTCAGTGTGGGACTCTCCAGACCTACTCTCAACCCCAGTGGAGTTTGGAAACATGTTGATGAGAGTGTGTTTCAGATCTCCCTCCCTGATGCCTTCAGGTTCTTCCCACACTGAGTGATATAAGCAATCCCGCTCGTCTCACGGATTGGGATTCCCCTGAATCACAGTTAATTGTTACATAGTGAAGCGTGTGTTTCATTCTTTAATGTTTGACCCTCAGCTTCCATATGATTTCCAGCCTCTAGATCAGTTACAGCTTGTTTTAATCTTTGCTTCAGCAGATGTTTCAATATTTTGCAACATGTTACTAAGAAGTCACAACACAACCAGTGTTTCTGCAAGACTTGTGAAGGAACATTTAATCAAATGTAACCAATATGTCAGTGTTCTCTAAATGTGTGGAGAGAAACATGACGAGTTGGATCAGCAACACTTGAGTTCGAAAACACAACTTCAGACAGATCCATTACTTTTTCATTTCTTTTACAAGGACAGCTTTTATATGGAAATAATTTTGCTGCAAAAAAAAAATAAAATAAAAATAATGTTCTTCCTCAGTGTCTGGGGTAAACTGGGCTACTTCTACTGAAGTTCTCATGAGGTCATATTAGATAATAATAACTTTACTGAATTTAAAATCTCCCATGAAGTGTGTGTAAGATACAGGCTTAGAAATATGATTTCTCAAAAAATTGTGTGATGAGTTATTTAGAAATATGTGGAAATACATTTTTATTTAATTTCTTTTTCATGTTTAAATATTAAATCAGAAATACACACTGCCAAAATTGATGTTCTTCCTCTGTGTTTCTGTCTTGTTTTCCAGCAAAAACATCTAAACATTCTTAAATCAAGATTTTAAGCCTGTTTACTGTAAAAGTTTACTGTACATCTCAAGTACATCTTGATTTAAAGATGTTTAGATATTTGCATTGGAAAACAGGGCAAAAGTCAAGTCACATTTATTTACTAATTTATTTATTTACAATACAGATTGTATCAAAGCAGCCTCACAATGATAACATGAAGAAAAAAAATACAACACAGTCAGATCAATAATATTGTTGAGGGTTATTTCACCCAAAAATGAAAATTAAGTCATTAATTACTCACCCCCATGCTGTTCCAACCCCGTAAGACCTTTGTTCATCTTCGGAACACGAATTAAGATATATTTGATTGAATCTGAGAGCTAGATCAGTCCTACATAGAATGCCTAAGGGACTGGCTCTTGACGGCCCATAAAGTCATTAAAGAAAAGGTTTAAATATTCCATGTGCCTACAGCGGCTCAATTATAAGTTTATCAAGTGACGAGACTACTTTTTGTGCGAAAAAAAAACATAAATAACGGCTTTATTCGACTATTCTATTACTTCCTTATTGGCGCATGCGCGAGAACTGAGACGAGGACGTTCTTCTCCTTCGACTACTTTTTGTTACCGGCTGCTCCGCTTAGGAGTTTTACCGCCCCCTACCGTATAAGATGATGTGCTGATATAGCTGGAAGTGCAAAACGTTCTGTTTACAAGCAGAGGAAGATGCGCGCTGTACGCTTTTCAATTAGCGTATTTTCCGCACTATAAGGTGCACTTAAAAGCCTTTAATCTTCTCAAAAAACGACAGTGTTCCTTATAATCCGGAGCGCCTTATATATGGATCATCATCTTATACGGTAGGTGGCGGTAATACTCCTAAGCGGAGCAGCCGGTAACAAAAATTAGTCGAAGGAGAAGAACGTGAGTCGTCTCAGTTCTCGCGCATGCGCCCATAAGGAAGTAATAGAATAGTCGAATTAAGTCGTTGTTTATGTTTTTTTTCGCACAAAAAGTAGTCTCGTCGCTTGATAAACTTATAATTGAGCCGCTGTAGGCACATGGAATATTTAAACCTTTTCTTTAGTGACTTTATGGGCCATCAAGAGCCAGTCCCTTTGGCATTCTATGTAGGACTGATCCAGCTCTCAGATTCAATCAAATATATCTTTATTTGTGTTCCGAAGATGAACGAAGGTCTTACGGGGTTGGTACAGCATGGGGGTGAGTAATTAATGACTTAATTTTCATTTTTGGGTGAACTAACCCTTTAAATGTCCCGAACTAAGCAAGCCAAAAGCAAGGCAACAGTGGCAAGGAACCAAAACTCCACAAAACCAAAAAGAAAGGTAATTGAATGGAGAAAAAAAAAAAAACCTTGGGAGAACCCAGGCTCAGTCAGGGGCCAGTTCTCCTCTGGCCAACGAAGGAACAGTGATTACAAAACAAATTGGATCGAAACATTAAGAGAATTTGTCCATTTCCATCTGTTTGGAAGTCGAAAAATACTCATAAAAATACTGAGGAAGAACGACATTTTTTTGCAAATGTGTGCAACATTTACCTGTCTGCTTTCTTAAAAAATAAAATGATCAAACATAGGTTATGGAGAGGCACTATGTCGTTGCATCTTTACACATATTACTCTCTTATTAAAAATCCAGCTGGCAAAAGCGCCAGAGAATATAGCGCAGGTCTGGAGCAAAGAGAGGAAAGTATGTAAAAACAAGCTTTTAAACACACACCGGAACCGTGTTTGAGGGTTTGTGTGTGTGTCATTAAAAGTCTCGTCATATGGACATAAATGGAGAGCAGTGATAGGAATGCCAGCACAAACATGTAAAGCACATACAAACACACGACCCCTCACACACACCTGCTGACACGCTTGCCAAGCCTTGTAATTAACGTTTTGTGCCATTCTGTGCCGAGACCGAATGTCTGTCAGCATGTGTCTGTTGACGGAGATAAACCTGTATTACTGCCGGGAACTCGGACACAAATGCATCAACAAAGATCTGGAAAAGTGTGCGCAGAAGAGGGTGTGAGTTCAAATGGCAACATAATGAAGGACAAATCACTGCTTTGTGGAGGTTAAAGTGAGAGGATCATCTTCACAATAACATCCTGGTGTCATTGACTCTCAACACTGGAGACAAAAGCTCTCGCATGACATAAATGAGGCTTTAAACATCCTGGTTTTGTTTAGCCAATAAAACAACTTCACAATGGTTAAAGATCACTGAAGCATTTCTATTTCACCAGCTGATGTGGCATTATATATCCTCACATAGATCATGCCATTTAATTTAATTAGTGCAATTACACCATTCTGAAAATGCATTAATTTAATAACCATCCATGATTAATATATTCCACAAGTGTAGGATTGAAAATGATTTAATATACTGTACTTTAAAATGAACAAAGACATTTGCTTTTCTGTTTCCCCATCAGGATTGTGTGTTGTTCCTAAAGGAGAGTAGTTGAGAGGGATAGGCTAGATGTGTGTGTACTGCTGGTCTATGAATCCTCACACATGTAGAACAATGAGGTAAGTGTAATTATCTTATTGGTCAGTTTGAATGTCTCACATTTGGGTTAAAGTCACATGGTCAGGAAAGGTAAAGGATTGTAACTGTTGCTCTTCGTCTTTTATTCTCTGGGTCCCTCTCTTGGGCTCTCTCTCTCTACCTCCTCTTCTCTCTCTCTCTCTCTCTCTCTCTCTCTCTCTCTCTCTCTCTCTCTCTCTCTCTCTCTCTCTCTGTGGTAACACACACACACACACACACACACACACACACACATTTTTTTAAATGAGTAACTGTTAATTACTGCTTATTACAAGCACCTTAAAATAAAGTGTTACTGAGTGCACACTTACAGTTTTTCTCGATTGTTTACACACATTTTCTGAAAGAATGCCTCATATTCTCAGAACTCTACACACAAATCTAAAAACACTCACACAATTGGCAAAACCCCTCAATTCTCCTGCAAAATGAAACTTAAATGGTATTTTGTTTTCAAATGACACACACAAACCATCATATGAATAGACATTTATAAGAACCAGTTGAACACTGATGTGCTCAATGTAAAAAACTATGATGAATTGAAAACACTTCTTCTCCATTCATCATAATGACTTAGGCCTTTTTTGTTCAGTGTTACACTTACTACAGACATTACATACATAAGTGTGTTGTAAAATATTTGAGAATATTGCTTTTTAGACCCAGAACACACAAATACACGGTAACAAATATATTTTATTTTTCCCACAAAATCAATGGGAGATAGATCCCACATTTTGTACACCCCAACCAACACACAGTTGCACATACAGTGGTCTACATACAAAACAACAGAATTTCTTATGCTGTTACAGTAAAAAAAGAAAGAAAAAAAAATCTATGCTGCATCCTCTCTTTGGTTTTGGTATTTTATGCTAAAGCTCTGATCACTAATTGTAAAACTGTGTGACGGGTGTTTGCCCATGTGACGAGTCAGTGTGAATATTTGAATGGCAGTGTGTTCCTCATGAAAACAAGAGATTTTCTGCATGAAAACTGTGCCAAAATTAATGCAGAGAACTTGTGTGTAGTGTTTTGAAAAAAGTGTGTGTATTGTGAAAGCAGGAATTGTGCTTGTAGTTCAGTAGAATTGGCTCAGGGGGTTGGTGAATGAGTTACATGTTGTGGTCATTGTGTCTCAAGTACCAGAAAATGTGTGTAAACAATCGAGAAAAACTGTAAGAAAAAAATATGCTGAATCACCTACTAAAATATACATTTCACAACACATTTCTAGCTCCGCCCACTTTGAGTCGACCAATCCAGTGTGAGATCATTTCCTGTCTGAAGAGCTAGTGTAATAAAGAGAGAGAGAGAGAGAGAGAGAGAGAGAGAGAGAGAGAGAGAGAGAGAGTGTGTTCCATCCAGTGTTTGATTTCACTTTCACTTTTCAGAGCTGACTCACCCGGGCGTGAAACACACGGACAAACACACACAAATATACACCGAATTTAAAAACAACACTTGATTCAAACACACAAAAACATACACACACCAGCATGGCTTTCCATTACCCTGAAGCACGGAGGGATGAGAGTCAGGTCAGTGCTGATTTACACATGTTCTCCTTTAATCATTCATTCTCTTCCTCCTTCAGACTGACCGAACACATGAGACATGAGTGTGTGGTTCAGATTGTGTGAGCCCATATGCGATGATTAGTGTGTGTTTGGTTCAACTACTTGGAAACCTAAAGTGTCTCTTTTCTCGGCTACTTTGATTGACAGGTGGAGGATTATCATGGAGTGAAGATTCGGGACCCGTACCACTGGCTGGAGGACCCCGACTCTGAGGAGACTAAGGTGACACACACACACACACACACACACCAGCACACTGACACACACACACACACACACACACACACACACACACACACACTTACTAAACTTTCACAACCTGCAAAATGTGTGCAAAATAACAGCCCTTCAATGATAAATCTCATATACATATATATATATATATATATATATATAGCTTACAGTAGACACCTTTTGAAGTGGATCAAAAAAGTTTTGAAGTCTTTTAAGAGTTTTAAATGTTAACTACTGACTCCGGGCAGTCTATGGCTCTGGTTCTCTTAGACCTCAGTTGTGCCTTTGATCTAATCAACCACGATATTCTTATTTCACGTCTTGAAACATGTGTTGGACTTCGTGGCACAGTATTACAGTGGTTTCGGGTCATATCTCTCTGACAGGAGGTACGTTGTCAACATTGGACACCATTCATCTTCTGAAGTACCTTTAAATTCTGGTGTTCCCCAGCGTTCAATTCTTGGTCCTGTTTTGTTTTCCCTTTATATGCTTCCACTAGGGTCTATTTTCAACAAGTATGGGGTCTCTTTTCATTTGTACGCAGATGACACCCAAATTTATATCCCTATGAAGTGGGATGACAAGCAGGCCTTAAAGCCCATCTTGGACTGTTTGGAAGAACTAAAACACTGGCTTGCAACTAACTTCATGAGTCTTAATTAGAGTAAAACTGAACTTATTGTGTTTGGTTCAAATGAGCACTATGTACATGACCTTGAACTTGCATCTTTATCACCGTATACTACCACATGTGTCAAAAACTTGTCTGGCTCGATAATAATCTGAAATTTGATAAGCAGATAAATACTGTGGTTAAGTCGTGTTTTTACCATCTTCGTCTCCTGTCAAAGCCGGTGAGGCCATTTCTTTCTCTAAAGAAATTTGAAATAGTCATGTAACATCTCGACTGGACTACTGTAATTCTGTGTATATCGGCGCCCCTCAGGCTTGTGTTTCAAGTCTACAATTAGTAAAGAATGCAGCGGCTCGGCTTCTCTACGGGAAACGTAAATATGATTCTGTCACGCCCGTATTGATCTCACTACATTGGCTGCCGATCAATACAGAATTGATTTTAAAATTCGATTGTTTGTTTTTAAATCCATTCGTAATGGGACACCACAGTATTTAAACAGATTTGCTACACCCCTATGTTCAGTCAAGGTCACTTACTGTAGATCCATAAACTCTGGACTATTGCAAGTCCTCAGGACAAGATAAAAAAATCGAGGTGATCGTGCCTTTTCTGTCATCGGCCCCAAATTATGGACCACTCTCCCGGTTCATATTAGAACTGCCACAACTTTATCTATTTTTAAGTCCTCCCTCAAGACGTATTTATTTTCTTTGGCGTTTTAATTTATACTTTGATTTGCTGTTTCAGGATTTTATTTTACATGTCTTACATCTATTTTACAGCTTGTGTTTGTTTTTATTTTCTTTTGTACAGCACTTTGGTCAACCTCGGTTGTTTTTAAATGTGCTGTATAAATAAACCTTCTATTCTATTCTATTCTATTCTATTCTAAAGTTCATCAGAGTCAAGAACAGGTATTGCTCAAAATTCTTGTATAACTTTGATAAAGGGTTTCTATCCACTAATATAACATAATATAATAATATACTGTCTTCAGTTTCACACTTACATTCTGACTTGGAGCAAATAATCTCTCACACAATGTAACACTGTCCATCAATAAAAGGATGAAAGAAATACTGATGAGGTCCTGATATTAATGAGGGGCGGAGAATTTGCATCACCTGTGTGTGCGTGCTTGGCAATCAAGTGGTGTTTCAGACTGGACGTGCTGCGGTGATGATAGCTCAGTTCACAATGACAGAACACACAGATCGCTTTGGTCTTGTCAATTAAACCATTTGGCAACTTTTTAGTAAAGTAAACTTTCCATTTAGAATCTTATTGGCATCCATTTCAGCGTCTCGCTCTTTCTCGTCTTTCACTCAAAACGTAACGTTTACCAACTATTTGGCCGACTCGCACACCCAACAAGTGTGTGCGGCGTTGCTTTTTTTTTCTGGTCAACTAGATTCACTTGCGCTTTGGTCGTCAAAGCAACAAAACGTCCTCACGCAAGCCATTGAAATGAATGGGCATCAGAGTAACTGTGCCGATTGTCTGAAGCCCATATAGAATCACGCAACCCATTGGCTGATGGCGTGGGCGCCGCCTTGACGCTCTTACATCGTCATGTTATATTAGCGTGCACATCATCTGCTCCTCAGATTTTTCTGCCGTAAAAGGAAGCTTGTCGGCAGCGTGAGGAGTTTGTCAATGAACGCAGCGTCTCGTTCCCTATTCAGAGAACATGGGTTACACCAGTAACAGGAGACATTCTCTTTCATTGGTTTACTCAAAGCTGCGTAGCTAAGACACAGTGGGAACGAAATACCAAACTCGCCAAGCTAAGCGCTGTGCAACTAGTACAACAACCAGATAACTCACATGACTGGTTCAAGCAGACAAAACATGGTGGGAACCTGTAACCATGGTGATATTAGATTAACCTGGCTGGTAGTAATCTCTATTAATCTCCAGGATTATTACATTGATACAATATTGTTTTATTTGATGTTATATAGGCTAAATGTGAATTTTTATTTCATATTGGTTTATTCATTATTACCATATGTTACTTGTATGAATATTTAAAGATTTAAGTTAAATTGTGCTCTGATTTAATTTTGGCTCTGTAAATAAAAGGGTATTATTTTTTGACAAAGTGCGTGTGGTTTCGTTTTCTTAAGTACTGTTTCAAGAACCGTTTAAAAAAAATAGAAAGTAGGAACTGGTCTCAGATAAAACCCAACCGATACCCAACCCTATAGTCTTCACGGCACTGACGGCAGTTAGTTTAATCATTATTTACTAGTTTCACCGGCTTTTTAACATTACACATTATAACAGCGGGGGTTCATGAGCTGAAGCAATGATTCATCAAATCATAAAAATGGCAAATTAAAATAAATAAGTTATTTGAAATAATGTGACAGTAAACGTCTCAGGTTACGCATGTACAACGCATTCTCACCCCAAGGCGTCACCTTTGACCATGCTTCAATATTTGACGTTTTAGGCGCCCTTTAGCGTCACTCACATGACGCGATCCTACGGCGTCATCTAACTGACGCTAAAGGAAAGCGTCTGTTAGAGGACGCGGTTAGGTTTAGGTGTGGGGTGGGGGTAGGGTACACGTGATCCTAGGGCGTCATCTTACTGACGCTAAAGGGCGCCTAAAGCGTCAGATATTGAAGCATGTCCAAATGCTTCCCAAGGCGTCAGTTAAGTGACGCCTTGGGGGTGAGAATGGGCTGGCATGTAACCCTGGTTCCCTGAGAGAGAACGAGACACTGCGTATAACGCTTCGGGAACGCCCCTGCGTGACGTCATAAGGCACTCGTGAAATCAGTCCAATGGCGTAACGAGACGTCCTATGGCGGGTGACGTCATTGACCAGGAACCTATAAAGCACCCCTGAACCTGCAAACACTAGCTTCTGATAGGTCAAACACGTCGGTCACAGTGATGCCGGGAGAATGGCAAAACAATGCAGGGAACCAGGGTTACATACGTAACCTGAGACGTTCCCATTCAAGGGAACTCAACGCTGCGTATAGCACTTTGGGAACTGAATACCCACGTCGCCATAGTCCAAGTCCCTGTATAAGTGAAATCGTAACACACATTATACAAGAAACACCTCGAGAACCCGGAGTGGAGGCTAGTGATGCGTGGGTCGACTCGTGGGTTGGGTTGGGGCGGGTAAAGAAATTGTCACTTTATTTGCGGGGCAGGTTGGGGCGGGTCATTAATTAATTTTTTTTTTTTATCCATGTATCCCACTTGGCGCCACGGTTGAGTTTACTCGACAAGATGCGTCACTGAATAAAACGGGCGATTTTATCAAATTGGGTCTCAAATTTCGTTTTTGACATCTCCTCCACTGCATGGCAGACATGTCATACTTCATCCCCGACTCAAAAAACATAATGTTTCTATACAAAAGGTTCGAGTTACAGCGCATTGAATCAGTGCAATCAAAAGCGGAGTTAGTGTGAGAGTGAGTCATTTTATCAGAGCCTCTCCGCGATCGCAGCGACAGTATTGTGGTGGAGTTTTTGTCTATTATCACTGGGTATGTTAGACGAGGTCGACGTATTCATAGTAGCTACAGTTAGGGGCCAATGTGAAGGCAGGTTGGGGAGTCACAATGGGCTATATGCACGCATAAGTTCCGAATTTGACGCAAGGACGCATATAGCCCATACTACGCATACTTGGTGCGCACGAGGCAGATCTGGCCGCGCTCGCGCTGCTCGTATCATCACTTATGATCTGTGCTTTGCCGTAACGAGTGATCTTTGAACTAAACAGGTCTTGTCTACTTGTGTTTGGGTATCATATGAATTATATCTGCCCCATACATGGAATCAGAGTGCCTGTGTAGTAAATGGAAAATCTCCACAGCAAAAGGCCAACCACATGCATACGGTTTGTTCTATCATTTATTAGTAATGATTGTTTATTACTTACTATATTCCTGAGCATTCAGTATTGTGCAGTATAGCATACAGAAGGTGATGGACAGAAATGCTGCATTTTATCATTTAAACGTGACTTTTCATGAAAATTAAATAAAAAAGATTGCTGCCACCATATGACGTGATAATATGCAAATTAGATGGGGAAATTGAATCCCTACATAAACTTTGGGTCATCCTTATATTTCTCTAATTTACAGAAAGTATCTATCTTGTTTTTCTTTTAAGATATAGTCTTTTGAAATTAAGATCGAACGTTTTAGGAAAAAAAACTCTGGCGCCTATTTCCAGCCTATACACATTTGGGAATATCTATTTTCATATTTTATAAGGTTATTTGATAAGGTTACAATACGATTACCGTAGCAACGTAACTTGCGTGAGGTGAGGTTCCCAAACCTTTGGTGCCACGTGACACGTCACGAACGCGACGCGCCAAGCAGCTCCCGCCGCCAGCCGGGACAACAACAACAACAACGGAGAAATATAAGTGAAGATGGAAGACGAGGTGCGGGAGTAATTGAGGTCGGGACTCGGGAATATACATGATCAAAAGAAAAAAAGGTCAGGCTGCTAAATCTAATGTTTGGGAGTGGTTCTCATAAGTAGTTGCAGCAGGAGACAACAGTAGTCTCGGCTACCTCAAGTGCAACTCGTGTGAAAAATATACAGTAGCGCCACAAAACGGCCACTTCCAGCATGTCAAGACATATTTGTGGGGGGTCTAAGAAATAAAAAATGGTTTAGCATTAGATGAATACAAATGCTGCTTTGTAAATGTTGAAAATGTTTATTAATATGACCTGATTTATGGTTAATATTCATAATCGTCTGTTATTGTTGCCAGGTTACAGGGCGATGTTTCCAAGCATTTTTAGGCTGAAATAAAGGCTGTTTTCATTTGCATTACAATGCCTAGTAGCTAGCTACTATGTCTATTTAACGGTCGCGGGTGCGGTGCGGGGCGGGGCGGGTTGTAAAAATAGAGACAGTGGTGCGGTGCGGGCTGGGGCGGGCAAAATAATTTCATAAAAGCGGGACCCGCGGGTTGGAAAAAAAAGCCGACCCGCGCATCACTGGTGGAGGCCACATCCAGGTTATAAAATCTTATGAAGGTGTGCGGAGAGGACCATCCTGCCGCATCACAAACCTCCTGAAGCGAGACCCCAGACAATAGGGCCATAGATGCACCCATACTCCTAGTCAAGTGGGCTCGGACCTTTAGTGGTGACGGGTGACCGGCCGACTCATACGTAAGTGAAATAGCCTCAACTATCCACTTACTCAAAGTCTGCTTGGATGCGGGCTTCCCCTTACTCGGGGACCCAAAACACACAAACAGTTGATCAGATTTTCGCCACAGGGCAGCTCTGTGGACATATGCATCCAAAGCCCTAACTGGGCAAAGCAGATTTAACTTCTCTTGGTCCTGGTTCTGGAATGGAGGCGGAGAAAAGGCCTGCAGCATTATGGGACCCAGGGGCAGACTGGGACCAAAAAGTGGACTTTCTGGTCCACAGCAGCCCACCGTGCGGTGGCCGAGAGAGCTCAACGTGCTGCAACTTAAACCAAATAAGTGACGAACCCGGCTGGGACGTGCGCTTCCCCATGCCTTACTCCCTTCGAAGGGCAGATGGAAGAGCCCTTAAAGTGGGACTTTGGAGTGAGCAGGGCACCAGTGTGCCATTATGTAGCCGTGAGGAAGGCAGCACGTTGTCCATCAGCTGAATTGCTGTTCTTATGACAGAAATATAATGCCATTAACATAATGGTTGCAAATACATTTTTATTTTTATATTTACTTTACAAAAAAAGCTTTTAAAATATGTGTGACGCCCCCGACGCCCCTGGCGTCAGGACTTCTTCGCCGAGGCCTTCCTAGAGACAATAACAGTCCTCAGATCTGCTCTACCTCGGGAAGACCTCGGCTGAGGACGCCGTCCCAACCCCCAGTCTCTCTGTGGGGGGGCACCAACAGCCACGCTCATCTTATGCGAGGAGGATATACTCGGCTGGGGCTGCTCCCGCCCAGCAGCCCCAGAGGCATGGACTTTGCGAGGAAGAAATCTTTGGAAAGCAGCTGCCTGCTTCTTTGCTTCCTGAAATCTCTCGACGACCGAATTTACTGAATCGCCGAAAAGACCAGTAGGAGAGACAGGAGCATGTAGCAAAAATGTATTATCTTTTTCCTTGATGTCAGATAAGTTTAAACAAAGATGCCTCTCCGTGGCCGCTTCTCTGGTGGCCCGAAGAGACAGATCAGCTGCCTTCCTGATCTATCATCTCTCTCCCCACTTGCTCACATTCGTCATCTATATCTTTTAATAAATCAGCCTGGTATGCTTGGAGGACCGCCATAGTATGTAAACTGGCGGCCGCCTGACCTGCTGCCGAGTATGCCCTACCCATTAACGTAGTAGTTCTAACAGGTTTAGTGGGCAGCTGCGGGGCTTTCAGTGATGATGCAGACTCGGGGGAGAGATAGCCCGCGAGTGTCTCTTCCACCTGAGGCATCGCCGCACAACCATGTTTCTTTAACCCTACTATGTTTGAATACTCAGTTGTTGCTGGGTTAAACACTCTAAATGATGCTGGTCTAATCCATGACTTCGATACCTCGGTATGAACGTCGGGAAAGAACGGTAAGCCCCGCTTTTGAGGTTGTGATCTAGACGGCAAAAATCTTTCATCTAATTTACTTTTTGCCTTACATGATTCCTGCTCACTGGCTGGCCAGTCCAGATTTAACCTAGCAACAGCACGAGTGACCTCCAAAAGCTCCTCTTGTGTGTGTGTAACTGTGTGTGGTGTAAACTCTTCATCCCCCAAGCTCACAACATCCACTTCCTCAGAACTGGAGCGTTGCCGCGCTTGTGCTTCAGCGCGAGCAAAAGAAACCGCAGTGCTTGCTACTGACTCGTGTTGTGGCAAAAACAGTTTAACTAACAAACAGCATCATAGTAAGAGACATTAGAATCAAAGAATAAACATCAAAAGATGTCTTCCTGCCCCTCGCCCTATGGTGTTTTACTGCCCTTACTCCTGTGAGATCAAAAGTTGATGGGATCAAAAGGCTTTATAATGCGGTGGTTCCCTTGTCTATAAACAAAGGCCTTTAGCATATCTTTGTCTGTGTGTGTGTGAGAGTTCCTGCTGTACAGTAAATACAGAGTATAAGGGGAGAAACACGTTTAATTGAAAGGAACAAACCTCATAATGTAGAATGAAAAGGAAAAGAAAAATAATGTTAAAACATGAAATTTTCTATAACACTCGCAAACTGAAGCATCGGATTCAACGGTAAAGGGAAGAGATAGCGGATCACCCGTCTCTAACCCCGCCGCTAAATCCATTTGTGAATCCCAGGACGCACGCCTCCGCTGTGCCTCAGCAGCAGCGGGACCCGAGCCCCGGGGAATGCGAGCCGAAGCACCCTCCTCAAAGAGTGCTCGGCGGGACCGGAGAGTTCTCATTGCCAGCTTATCACAATGCTCACAGCCAGCCCCCTCGAGGGCTGACTGGGCATGGTCCAATCCCAAACACATCACACACAGCTCGTGTGTATCAAGGCACACTTGAGTACTTCATGACGCAATCACGCAAGGGCGTTCCCGAAGCGCTATACGCAGCGTTGAGTTCCCTTGAAGGGGAACTGACATTACACACCCAAAGGTTTTGTTACGTTTTTGACATATAATATCTTAGGGGAAGTTCAAGAAAATATTTAGGACTAACAAGAAAGTTCCTTGAAAAATTGCATTACTCCTCTGATATTAACCAGTGCTATTTTAGTATCACTGAGATACTATTATTGTTTTTATCAATATTTTGAATTAGTTCTTTTTTTTACCAGTTTCATTCAACTTCATTTAAAGTTTTTAGTAATTATGTTATTATGTGTATTATTATTATTATTTTTTTTAACTATGTATTCATACTTTTTGAATTTTTATTTCCATTTTAGTTTTAGTCCATCAATTAAAAAAAAAAAGGAAATCTAGCCTTGGAAAATAGCTGAAATAAAATAAGTTTGAGTTTATTTCCGTTAATGTTCAGGATTGTTTAAGTAACAGCTGTTTTTAATGCTTTTGCTGTTATGTAACGATAATACTCCTGATATTAACATGCAGACTGACAGTTTAGCTTTCATGAACCGTAACAACTTTTTCTTTCGTGTCGGATCCGGTAACGACCCGTTCCATAAGTTACGTGTTTATTTTCATGCTCACCAGTGTAATTTTCTGCTTCCCACCCGCGGCCCACATCACCGGAACAAAGAAATCTGCAGAACAATTTTCATATAAACAAGATGTGTGTGTGTGTGTGTGTGTGTTCATGTTTATATTACATTGTGTGGACCAAATGTCACCTACATTGTGGGGACCAGCCAGCGGTCCCCATGAGGAAAACAGCATATAAATCATACTAAGTAATGTTTTTTGAAAATGTAAAAATGCAGAATGTTTCCTGTGATGGGTAGGTTTAGGGATACGGGCAGGGTAAGGGGATATATTATACAGTTTGTACAGTATAAAAACCATTACGTCTATGGAGAGTCCCCACAAAGAGGTGTGAGCCTGTTTGTACGACCTTCCCTGCAGATGTTTGTGGAGGCGCAGAATAAGCTGACGATGCCGTTCCTGAACTCGTGTGCTGTCAAAGAATGCTTTCATCAGCGGCTCACCGAACTCTACAACTACCCCAAATACAGTTGTCCTTACAAGAGAGGCCAGAGGTCAGAGACACACACACTCTACAGTTCTGAACCAGCTTACATGAATCTCTACTTTACACACTCTACTGACTATAAGCAACTCTACAACTATGTGAGTGTGAGTGAGTGAGAGTGTGTGTGGGTGTTTGTGTGTGAGCATGCTGGTGAATACCAATATAACATATTCTGTATTATATTTATACGTTGTTCAATGCATCAATGCATTGTTAAAAATAGCAAAAAATAAAATGTGAACTTGTGCAATGCATATCTGTATGTGATATGAAATACACGTTCAATATTGTATTGCAGATATTTCTATTCTTATAACGAGGGTTTGCAGAACCAGAATGTCCTGTACGTGCAGAACTCTTTAGACAGTCCAGCAACGGTGTTCTTCGACCCAAACACACTCTCAGACGACGGGACTGTGGCTCTCAAAAGTGAGTCTTGAACACACACACATAAACAGACACACAGACGACGGTACTGTGGCTGTCAAGAGTGAATTGTGAATGCACACACACACACAAACATACACACACACACACACACTCTTCTGCACAGCCACTGCTTCTTCAGTCTTTGCTTGCGTGTCCTGACAGGTTTCATTCCTGTTTAAACACACACACAATCCACGCTCAAACAACAATAAACATACATGCATATGGGGGTTAATAAAGTACATAAAAACACAATTATACTCAAGAAAATATAAGCATTTTAAAATATGTAAATAAAAAAAGATTATTAAATAATTGAGTTTATAAAAAAATACTAATTAAAATGAAAGAATATTGAAACATTACATAAATAATACTGAAATTTGGTTTCTATGAATATACTCATGTTCAACAGTTTGGGGTCGGCTGAGAAACCCTGCATTTATTTGATCATAAATACAGTAAAACAGTGAAGTATTACTCCAGTGTAAATCAACTGTTTTCTATGTTAATATACAGTAAAGTGTAATTTATTCCTGTGATCAAAGCTGAATTTATCATCATTACTCCAGTCTTCAGTGTCACATGTTCCTTCACAATTATGAGGATCTGATGATCATAAACATTTATGATTATTATCAGTGTTGAACACAGTTCAGATTTCAGTGGAAACTGTCATACATTTTAGTTTTCAGGATTCCTTGATGAATAGAAACTTCAAAAGTTTTTTTTTCTCTGACATTATAAATGTCTTTACTGTAAGTATAGACCTTATGCACCAGAGAAACGTGGGCGCCGTCATCTTTAGAATATTGTCTTTGAACTTCCGGTTTCGCGGTCACTCTGTATATTTCTATGGCATCGCTGTCGAGGAGTAATTAGTTGGTGAAGTGGATTTACTTATTGTAGAGTTAACAAAAGTTATCATGAGCATTGTAATGTTTATCATAAGCATTGTAAAGCAGATGTCTTAAAGGAGAACTCCGGCGAACAATGAACCTTTGGTCTAATAAAACATCGGTACATAGTCAACCGTTCTCTGAGATTTGTTTTCATGATAATCGAATGTAAAGAGTTTTATCTCTAAAAACTGTTTAGCGTATAATGCTAGTAATGGGGGCATTGACTAAGTAAAAAGAAATCGCTACCCAGATAGCAAACTGACATTGAATCAACGTGGAAATATGACATCGAAACAACGTTGATCTGACATTGTTTTGCTCATCGAATTAACGTTGAACCAACGTCAGACGCGTCATTCTTTCAAAACTAACGGAAAATCAACTTGAAATCAACGCGTTGTTTCAACGTTATGAAAGCAAACCAATTTTCAATTTTCATTTAGCTTTGAAAAATGCCGCGTCTGACGTTGGTTCAACGTTAATTCGATGAGCAAAATCAACGTTGTTTCAATGTCATGAGAGACATCGTTTCCACGTTGATTCAATGTCACTTTGCTGTCTGGGTAGTTTATACCACTAACAAGGCTCAAAATAGCCCCACACTAACACAGGAACATAATGAGGCTCCATACATGCAAAACGAAGCATTGATAACTTTGTAAGTGTACAGACCGTTTAATAAGAAGATACTTTATGAAGACAGTTCACTTCGTGTATACAGACAGGAGCCATCTTAGGAAATAGTCTCGATAAGTCAAACCATGAACGTCGTGCTGAGTGATCTGAACTGTATGAAGTTCATCAAACTTCTGAACTGTATGAACGGCGTTCAGGGATCGACTTATCGAGGTTCATTGTTCGCCGGAGTTCTCCTTTAACAAATGTCGACCGGGAATTTTTTTTACGAGCAGTTCATTCATACCTATGTAAGATTGCTGTCAAAATACAGACCGGAAGCTAAAAGACAATGGCCCTCATTTATCATTGTTGCGTAGAAACGGGCCTATATTTTGGTGTAATATTATGCTTACGCTCCTCTCACCGCCTGATTTATGAAGCTGTGCGTACCTTTGAAATCCAGGTGTACGCAATGCTTACCCTTGATAAATCCCGCGGCCGAAAACAATCGTCATTAGAATAACACGCCCCCAAATATTCAAGTCTCCGCTCCCCCCACGCCCTCATTTTACGCCATGGACATACGGAAGAGAAACTTCTCCGACGTGGAGCCGAAATGACCTATCACAATGCATTATTTTACAGCACGTCTTTTGAAATTAGCATTCAATTTCGAATCACGTCACAAATTGTAGTGATGATGATGGTGATGAGTACCATTCATTCACATTAATAATTGCATGACAATTTGTAATAGTATTCTTCTTATTATTATGATTTGTATTAATGATGCTTATTGTTATTTAGAAGAAGGATGTCGTTATTATTATTTGTATCATTATTATCATTTAAAAGAAGAAGAACGTATTTTTTATTATTTTGTCAGTCTGGATTATTTTTTGGTCATTGAAAGCCTTTCATTAGGCTACTGAACCCAGTCCGTGCGCACCTGCCGGGGATAATCCTGAAACGTCAGGGTAAAGCGGGCTCACAACTGAAATATGCTTACAAATCAAATGCTTTGGTAAAGTCACACAAATTAAGTCCACACACATTAACACATTGAAGTCCGCGTTATGCAAAAATAAACACTGAAGTTTATAATAACTATGTTGTTTTTTTGTTTGTTTGTTTTACAGTGTGTCATAATATATCTTTTAGTTTGTCAGTGCGTTTTGTGGTGTTAGGAATTTTTCTGCGCATTTCCTCACTAACTCAAAACGTGCGTACACCACCTCCTGAGCTGGTGTAGGATTTGAGCGTGCCGTACGCCCACGTCCATATTGATAAATCTCAAACTCACCGTGGTTTTGAGTGTACGCAAGGTGTACGCTGGAAATTTGGTGTACGCACTTTTGATAAATGAGGGCCAATAAGCGCAGCACTGAAAAGGGGCGGGGCTACATAAGGTATATAAGTTTCTTTAAAACAAAAAGAATAAATAAAAAACACTGACCCCAAAGTATGTAAATACATACTTCATACATAAACATTAATAAATGAATGGACTATGCATTATGCAAAACACAATTATACTAATTAAAATAAAATAAAATACTGACTATTCTATAGACATTCCTGGTGTTTTTCTGAGATGCACTGAATTATGCAAATCACAGACTGACTGTATATCTCTTCATTTATGCATGTCCTTCCTTTCTATTTCAATACGGTAGTTATCTGGCCATCTAATCCTGTGCACAAACACATTAAAGCAGGTTATTTGCATAAATGGGAAAAGCGACTGCTTTCCCTTGCGGGTATTTCCTGCAGTCTCAGTTGTAGAAGTGTGTTTTTGAGGAACCGGTTCTGAGGCCTGAGGGATCTTAAACACAACGCTGGAATGTTTGCACTGCTTTAAGGCACATTCATTCACGGATGTACACATTTATTTATACATGTTATACAGGTTTATTTTATAGCAACGTAGCTTTAATCAAACCATTAAAACTTACAGTTTTGCTCTTAAATGTGACCACAAAACCAGTCACATGGGTAATTTTTTTTTTACATTGATATTTATACATAATCTTAAAGCTGAATTAAGCTTTCCATTGATGAATGGTCTGTTAGGATACAAAAATATTTGGAAACTTTGAGAAAATCTCCTTTAAATTTGTGCATTCACGATTGTGCGGCATCCACATGTATTATATTATATATTTACTTATATATTTATATATTTACAGTAGGAAATTTACATTATATCTTCATGGAACATGATCTTTACTTAATATCCTAATTTTTTGTTTTTGGCATAAAATAATTGACCCTACAATGTATTGTTGGCTGTTGTCACAGATACACCCGTGGAACTCAAGACTGGTTTTGTGATCCAGGGTCACATATAATCTGGATTTGATCTGAGCTTGTTGAACAACTTTGCTCTTAAATGTTGTTTTTTTTTCTACTCCTTGTCTCTTTATTTTATTTCTATTGATCTATTTAATTGTATTGTAAAGAATTTTGGATCAACTATGGTTGTTAAAATTGTGCTCTATAAATAAGACTTGACTTGATGAGACTTGAGGTTTGACGAGATTTGAGACTTTTGACTTGACGAGACTTAAGACTTGATGAGTCTTAAAACTTTTGACTTGACGAGACTTAAGACTTGACTTGAGACTTTTGACTTGACGAGACTTCAGACTTGATGAGACTTAAGACATAATGAGACTTGAGACTTTTGACTTAACAAGTTACGAGACTTAAGACTTGACGAGACTTGTGACTTTTGACTTGACTTGACTTAAATGATCAAATCTGGATTTGATCTGAGCTTGTTGCTCATTGCATGTGTTCTCTCGGGTTTTGTGTTTGCAGTGGGTCGCCTGTCCGAGGAATGTGAGTATTTTGCATACGGTCTGAGCAGCGCCGGCTCAGACTGGGTGACGATCCGGTTCATGAGGGCCGATGACCAGGTCGATCTGCCCGATGTTCTGGAGAGAGTGAAGTTCAGTTGCCTGGCCTGGACACACGACGCCAAGGGAATCTTCTACAACTGCTACCCTCGACAGGACGGCAAAGCTGACGGTACGAAACAATGATCAGGCAATATATACAACAAGCTTAAAGAGCAACATGCAGGTTGGACACCCCTACATAGCATAGTGTATGTTAAAAAAAAACTAGATTTTCTGAACTGGAGTAAAAAAATAACAATTAACAATATTTTGAGAAAAAAAGTGATAAAATAACTTTCGCGTCTATGAAGCACTAACCGGAAGTGACAGTCGGCGAGGGAGTCTGTTCAAGTTCAAGCTCAGGTTACAATGGATGCGATTGAAGAAACCGAGTTCTCCGATGTTGACGAACATGCCTATGATGGCCCACAGGCCTATAATTATGAGCCTCCTATTTGAGATAGAAGTCAGGGGGAGATCGGGGGAGGAACAATGGGCAGAGGAGAGAAGTAACATTAGAGTTGTGGTGTCAAGAAAACCAGTGGCAAATAGGGCAAGTGACTTGGTGAGTTAATGTAAGTTGTTAGCACCGTGGCTAACGCTGATTCAACTACTGTATGGCTAGTACCTAGTAGTAGTACCTAGTTGTAGTTTTGTAATAAATCTGCTTTAACAAACATACGTTCAACTTTGTTTTTGATTAAACATCCATTTAGATTGTCTTAATTTAAACCAGCAACATTTTGTCTTCTCATATTCTACGCTTACAGTGATTATGCAGTCCATCCAAGCTGGTTAGCACTATCTACAATGGCTAATAACCATGCCATAACAACAAATAAACAATGACAATACCTAAGCTACAATAACAACAGTCTAATGGCGCTTTTCCACTGCATGGCACGACTCGGTCGGTACGGTTCGGCTCGCTTCACGTTTCCACTGCGTGGTATGACTCGGCTTGGCAAGGCTCGGCTCGCTTTTCAACTGCAGTTAGTGATACTATTTAAAGGGAGTGAAATGTGCACAGGGATGGCCAGTATTTCCGATACATGTATTTAAAATACGTATTTGAAATGCAAAATACTATTTTGTATTTTAAAGCCTTTGGAAAAAATCAAATGCAATTTGTATTTAAATACATTTAAGATGAGTATTTTTGTATTTTCAAAATACTTTGAACCAGAATCCTAGAAGATCAGAGGAAGGATTTGGACAACTTGAACCAGTATCCACTTATTAGACATCTGTTTGTGAGGTTCAACACAATCATTCCCTCTTCAGGTCCTGTAGAGCACTTGTTTTCCTTTGCGGGTTTAATCAATAGGCCACACAGACGACGCCAAACTTTTTGAAAAGCTGGTGGTGATGAAGGGTATCGAATAGATGGATGTCTGAAATAGTGATGGGATTTATGGCTCTTTGAGGGGATCCGGATCTTGGCGATCCGTTCCTTTCAAAGAGCCGTTCAAAAGAATGGCTCTTTTGGCTCTTTTTAAATATTTAGTATAATCACTGGGAGGAATGATGAGGTGAGATTTGTAGTCAAATAATTCAAACTCAGATATCACGCATCAATATCTGAGTTTGAATTATTCTGAAATATTGATTATTACCTCATTTGTCACGTGTGGGCTATATTTCAAAGGGTTGCACAACATCCCTCTGCTTAGAATGTGACATCACTATTTTGTATTTACCTTTAGTACAAAGTGAGTGTATGTGTAAAGCTGTTGACTTATGTTTTTCATACAATACCACAAGAACATTTTGATAAAAAACAAAAAATATTTAAAGTTGGAAATATATACTGTAGATACAATAACATTAACATGAACACAAAATGCAATGTAAATAAATACAAGCAGTTCCTTACTTTATGGCTTTTTAAAAAAAAAAAAAAAAAAACTGGAGTAACCATGTGATGGCGGCGTGCACAAGTTTTGGCTCCGCTCCTACCCAATGACATAGGCACGTAGGGTTATAAAAGATAACGTAAAATATGCACGCGCGTGCACAACTATCACCCCTGCGCTGGGCGCCCCTTCCCCTGTAACTGAGGAGGTAATTTATGTGCATCTGTGTAAAACACGCATAGGAAAAAAGAACGACAGAAAGAACGGCTCCCCTCCTGCCGCGACTCGGCTCCCATCGTTCATGTTTATGAGCCGTTCAAAAGAATCGGTTCGTTCGCGAACGTCACAACTCTAGTCTGAAACACATAGGTACACCACCTGGAGGAGTACACTATCAGTTATTTAAAATATTGACTTTGTGTTATTGAGTTCTTGTTACTGAGTGTGAGGTAATGATGGTGATAACGATAATAAAAGATTTTTGAAATTAGTTTTTTGTAGTTTTGTATTTCCCAGGGCTGGGGAAGGGAAGAGGTATATAAAATGAAAACAAAAGTTTCTAAGTAGTTGCACACATTTAAATAATTTATTGGCATTCAGAATAGGTCCACATAGATTTCAGTCTAATAGTGTTATGAACTGCTCCGAGACATAGAGTTGAAGAGTCAAATGCAGAATCAGCAGACAGGACAATGGAGAATACACAGTGGGAATCCAAGAAACAGGCAGAGGTCAGGGCAGGCAGCAATAATCAGAGTCCAAGAACAATCCAAAGTCAAAAACAGAAAACAAACACGGGAAACCGCTCAGAAATGCAGACACACAGTACAACAAGACTTTGCAATGAGTGAATGATAACACAAGATATTTATAGTGTTAAAGGAACAAGACAATGAGAACCAGGTGAATGAGATGAGTGCTGATGAGTCCAGGCAGTGAGTTCTGGGAAATGTAGTTGTGAGGGAAACATGAACATCTGGTGTGGAGTGCCCTCTGGTGACTCTCAGGGGACTCCACCTGGTGACCGTTACATAGCCCCACCCCAAAGAACGGCTTCCAGATGCCCAAAAAACAGTCCAGGAGGGAGGTGGAGCGGAGGAAGATCCGGGGGAGGGATGGTGGGCCAGGTCTGTGGAGCGGAAAAGGACCTGCAGACTGCGGCAGAATGGTTGGCCAGGGCGGAAACGACCCCTCAGGGGAGCAGGGTGCAGCAGGCTGTGCGGTTGAACGGGGTGGAGCAGGCTGTGCGGGCGACCAGGGTGCAGCAGGCTGAGCGGTCGAACAAGGCGGAGCAGGATGAGCGGGCGGCCACAGCGGTGAAGACCCCTCGGGCCTCCAAGGCGGTGAAGACCCCTCGGGCGGCCACGGCGGTGAAGACCCCTCGGGCGGCCACGGCGGTGAAGACCGCTCGGGCGGCCACGGCGGTCACGGCGGTGAAGACCAGGATCAGACACCGACTCGGGACCAGAAACCGGCTCAGGAACAGACACTAGAACAGAAATGGTCACAAGGATAGACACAAACACAGAAACAAACACTGGCTCAGGAGCAGACACTGGATCGGCCATCTTGTACGGAGACACTGGATTGGCCATCATGTCCGGAGACACTGGCTCGGCCATCATGTCCGGAGACACTGGCTCGGAGGCGGCCATCTTGTCTGGAAACACTGGCTCGGAGGCAGCCATCTTGTCTTTAGACACTGGCTCGGAGGCGATGACGTGAACAGTCTCTGGATTGGCAGAAGTAACGTGAAAAGTCTCTGAATCAGCCATCTTGTCCATAGCCACTGGCTCGGAAGTGGCCATCTTGTCTTTAGACACTGGCTCAGAGGCAACCATCTTGTCCTTAGACACTGGCTTGGAATCAGTGACGTGAACAGTCTCTGGATTGGCAGAAGTAACGTGAACAGTCTCTGAATCGGCCATCTTGTCCGTAGACACGGTCTCAGAGGCGGCCATCTTTTCTCTAGTCACTTGCTCGGAGGCGGTAATGTGAACAGTCTCTGAATCGGTCATCTTGTCCATAGACACTGGCTCGGCAGAAGTGACGTGAAGCGTCTCTGGCTCGGCAGGGCTGACGTGGAGCTCAGGCTCTGGATCAGGAGACTTGACAGGAACGGTTTCCGGAAAGGCCCCCTCAGTAGTAGAGGGTTCGGGAAATTCTGCTAAGATGTAACGAGAGTCCGGGGAATCAGTTTAGGTGTAGCAGAACTCTGCTTCAACGGGTGTTATAAATTCATGGGAACCCTCATCCACAGGGCCCACAGAAAAGGATGATCCGCTTATCCTCAGGGCGAATTCAATATATTGACGTAAAGTCCATTGAGGGGTGTTGTCAGGCATGAGATAACTTAACATGTCTTTAAGTCCATATTGGAAAGCATCCTTTAAGACTGCATCATCCAAGTCTACCCCATGGCAGAGCTCACAAAATTCCTCAACATATTCCTCTATAGAATGATTACCTTGGCTGAGGCGGAAGAGACTGATAAGTGGGTCCATGGTGGATCTCGGTTCTTTAACGGCTGCTGGATCTGAAGCAGCGAAGTCTTCTGTTATGAACTGCTCCGAGACATAGAGTTGAAGATCCAAATGCAGCTTTAATTGAGAATAGTTGTACAGGCTGGGTCAAGAATCAGCAGACAGGACAATGGAGAATACACACAGTGGGAATCCAAGAAACAGGCAGAGGTCATGACAGGGCAGGCAGCAATAATCAGAGTCCAAGAACTAGTGATGTGACGTTTGAACCGAGGCCTCGGAGCTTGTGTCGAGAAAAAATGGGCGTGCCAGATGAAGCCGCGATTCGAGGCTTGTGTTGTTACCGTAAAAATCACGTGACTGATGACAAACGAGGCCTCGGTTTGTGGAAAAACGTCATCGGTTCGGTCTGCGGTTCGGCTCGCGCCACCCTGTGGCTGTTTCATGAGCAGAATAAGCAGTTGTAGTAGCGTCAGAGTCAGAGAAATCTCATTATCGTTATTGTGTCATATATGTGCTAGGGCTGTATATTACTACACTAGTCTATATCAGGTTAGAATAGTTATTGGGGGATTCTCCAACTAGGAGCACTTTTGGCACTGTAAGTTTTTGGAAAATTCACTTTCTTAAAACACACTTAAAACAATCTTCCTAGCTTAATTAATTTGTCTTCTAACACAATATAATAGTGGGCAGTTTTAGAATTCCATGAAATATTATTATTTTTAACAGTTTTTCTGAAGAGCGATTTCAAAGATGTCATTTCCACCACTTTTCAATTTATGTATTTTATTACAATATAATATTGTAAAACTGATTATATAAGATTATGTATCAGTCAACAACATCAGTGGCTACCTAATCATGTTACAAAATAAATCTTAATACTTCATGAATTTAATACATTTCCATTTAAAGTTGTTAAATGCCACGAGTTGCCACGAGTTGGGATTTTTTGCCTACAGCATTTCATTTTTGCTCAGGTCTATGATTATTTTTTAAAGTCACTCACACATTTATTGTAAGTAATGAACTATTAATACTTGATTTAAAATACATTTAGATCCACATAATTTGTTATTCTTATGTTTTTACTTAAAAACTGTGTAGTGGTGGAAAGTGGTGGAAATGACGGTTAATGATGGAAAGATTGTTTCTGTTAATTTTTACATAAATTGCCAGTCCAAAATATTTTTAACCTTGTATTTTATTATTTAACAGGTATAAATTGAAATAATAATTAATATTTGTCATTATCAATTATAGTAACTATATTATAGTCTTGTTATATTAATTAGACAAGATTATTTGGATTGCTTTGGATTTTTGGTTCTGGACTGGACTGAACTGCTTTTTGATTTGGATTGCCCTTTTGGATTTGTTTTTTTTTTTTTTTTTTTTTTTTTTATGACATCTTCCTTTTTCATGGTAATGGAGCCAACAAGAAAGAGGAAATCCAACCCTGTCTGGGCTAAGCATCAGCATCTTCATTTTTACCCGCTGACACACTGACGTCCTCTGTTCCTTGTGAAATGATATTTTTCCAAGGGTGGAGAGGTTTTGTCCAAGAAGAGGAATTGTCTAAACCCCAACACAGTTAAAAGAATTCATTTTCTCAAAAAAAAAAAAAAAAAAATCTGTAACCCTTTCCTTCATCCACTCCAAACTGCAGTGTTTACTGCAGTTTGCTTACTTTATTACACTCCCTCGAGTCACTCCACCATAAGCACTGCACTCAACACCTGTCACTTTTTTTGTTCATACTGTCACTCCATTTAAAAAAAAAAATAATAATAATTGTGTGTGTGACACTTACAGTCTATGGTGTGACAGTTGTCTCTGTACAAAATGCAGACAGAGAAAGATACACGTTTTATTTAATATCCAGGCAATGGACAAAAGTTTGCACAGATCTCTTTATTATTGCAAATGAAAGGTTACAGAGACATTAACAGTGAGAAGAAGATAAATAAAACAAAGCGGGAGGGGGGCGGGTCATGGGTTCAGAATGATTTAATTTGTCTGCTATTTCTTTGCACGGTAGCTAGGTGTCACTAGTGAGCAATGATGAATGAAGCTTCGAGTAATGAACCTTTGGGTGAAGCAATGGGCTGCGAGGTCTCAGTGTTTCAGGAAGCCTCATTTTGCCATCACTACCAAGAACAATCCAAAGTCAAAAACAGACCCCAAACACGGGAAACCGCTCAGAAATGCAGACACACAGTACAACAAGACTTCTCAATGAGTGAATGAGAAAACAAGGTATTTATTCTGTGAACTGAACAAGACAATGAGAACCAGGTGAATGAGATGAGTGCTGATGAGTCCGGGCAGTGAGTTCTGGGAAATGTAGTTGTGAGTGAAACATGAACATCTGGTGTGGAGTGCCCTCTGGTGACTCTCAGGGGCACTCCACCTGGTGACCATTACAAATAGGCATGCCTGCACTAAATCACCAATTTCACATGTATTTTCTGTATTTCCAAAATACAAAATAGAGTATTTGTATTTAAATACATTTTTCCACACAGTATTTTGTATTTGTATTTAAATACATTTTTCCACACAGTATTTTGTATTTGTATTTAAATACATTTCCATGTATTTATGCCCATCCCTTATGTGCGCCACAAACGACAGAGTGTGTGGTAACCTATGGTGGTAACAGACGCGGCAGTGAAGTCTGCTCTCTTCACCTGCACAAAACGCACCCAAGACTGAAAAGCCTTGTTTTTCCTAGAAGGAAAATGATGGACACCATATCCTGACAGGGTGGAATTCGTGCAACCAGTACAAACACAATAATTTACCATTATGGCTTCTCTAAAACTCTCTGTCTCTCACTACTGCTCTAAATACATCAACACCCAACAATGCGAATGCGGACCGCAAGCTCTTTTATTTGTTAAGTTTTCTTTAAAAAGCCTAACCAGAAAGTTTGGTTAAGTAAAACAGACAGACAGACAGACAGACAGACAGACAGACAGACAGACAGACAGACAGACAGATAGACAGATAGATAGATAGATAGATAGATAGATAGATAGATAGATAGATAGATAGATAGATAGATAGATAGATAGATAGATAGATTGTTAACTAATGAAACCTTAGTGTTACCATTCAATATAAATGCAGTATGCAATTGTATGCATTAATGTTCTGATTTAGGTCTTAATTTATAGGGTTCAATAATATTATTGCACTAATTTAATGTTTTTGTTTTTTTCTTCTGTGTTGTCAAGATTGATCAAGAAACAGGGAGCCTAGGGTTTTCAGGTCAGAAAGAGGATGACACTCAAAACAAAAAGAAACTTCACAGGTGAAAAGTAATAGACTGGCTTTTAAAAAAAGCTTGAATCATGCAGCGTTGTTCTTGTAACATGTGTACATGATGTTTACCATATAATAAGGTAACACTTTACAATTAGATTAAAATTTTTTGTAGACAAACGTTAAGTTTTCTTTAAAAAGCCTAACCAGAAAGTTTGAAGAAGTTTTAAAAGCATGAAGTTTGAATGTTTTCAATATGAAACACAGTTTTGGTTACTGTAAGTAAAACAGATAGATAGATAGATAGATAGATAGATAGATAGATAGATAGATAGATAGATAGATAGATAGATAGATAGATAGATAGATAGATAGATAGATAGATAGATAGATAGATAGATAGATAGATAGATAGATAGATAGATCGATCGATCGATCGATCGATAGATCGATAGATCGATAGATAGATAGATCGATAGCTCGAGACACTTTCGGCAGTTTCAAGTAGCTTAAAATGCTGAGACATATATTAATGTTAACTCTGTATAATCTGCTGCTTTTGAAAAAAAAGCCTAAAATGAGAAGCATAAATGTGAATGAACACTTAACTGTTTATTGTATCGTATTGTTCTACTAGTTTAAGATTTCCTTACATGTGTCATTTCAGTTCAATACATATCTGCAAATGTGTGGTTTGAGTGACTTTTATTTCCTTCCTGAAATGTGGACTAGAACAATGTAGAGTGTGAATGTGAAAGTATCCATGTGTGCCATTCACATACAAAACAATGTACACAAAAAATATTTTTAAAATATGTAAACAATATAGTAAAATATACAATACCATGTGCAATATAGATTACAGAACATCTGTATTCCTTTTTTTCTTTCTGTTTTATTGCTTTACACGTGAACAGCATATTAAGCCAATTAAGCAATAACTGGTCTACAAAGGTCTGAAAAAAAAAAAAAGTATAATGCTTGACATTCTGTCCCCCTCACTTTTGAAATGATTGCTACGCCCCTGATCCCTGTTTATCTGCTATAGTTTATAAAATGGTAATAAAATATGATAAGAACTCACTGGTGTTGTCACTCATTTACATTCATGAGCTATAGTGTCCTGCACACACTAGAAGAATATATAAAAATTATATCTACTGTCTGAATAATTTTTGGTTTGACTCTATACACTGCAAAGATATGAATGTCTTCCTCATTGTTTCTGTCTTGTTTTCCAGCACAAATATCTGAACATTCTTAAATCAGGATACATTTACTGGAGAAGCAACATGACTGAAGATATTAAGTCTTGTTTTCTGAAAGAAGATCATGAAAATGAAGTGAGTTAAAACAAAACAAGATCAAATATCTGTCAGTGGAGTCAGAATAATAATCTTAATTCGAAGGGGAACAAAAGATTGTTACCTTGTCAGCAGAGATTTTTTCTTGTTTTAAGCAAAATCTCACTTCCTTTTTGGTATCAAATTGTATTATCTTGTGTCATTTTGCTTTTTTCTTGATTTAAGAATGTTCAGGTATTTGTACTGCAAAATAAGACATAAACACTGGTCTGGTTCCAGTGTGGTACAGTATATGCATCACCCAGCTTTCACAATCCGGACACTTTGTTTTCCAATATGCAATTAAAATCAGCCCTTCATGTTGGCTGTGATTTGCTTGTCTTATTTCCATCCTATAGGCACTGAAACCACAACAAACCTAAACCAGAAACTGTACTACCACGTCATCGGCACGAGCCAATCAGAAGACATCCTGGTGGCAGAATTTCCTGAGAACCCAAAATGGCACAGTAGCCTTACCGTAAGTGGACCACTAATTACACAAAACCCCCTATTCAGGAAGATGTTTCACGTAACACAGCATTCGAAGAAATGAACTCTAAATGACCTGTTCTGTTGTTTGGTGGGGATCTCTTTTCTCCTGTTGCTGCTGTTAAGGTCTCTGATGATGGTCAGTTTGCAGTGCTGTCCATCACTGAAGGCTGTGAGCCGGTCAACCGTCTGTGGTACTGTGACCTCAACAAGCTTCCCAACGGGATCACAGGTCAGATTACTTTTAAAGAATGACTTTTTTACAGCTTTTATAAGAAGCTGATGTTAGACGGCTACTTGTCTATCACTCTCTATTCCTCAGTACAAATAAATTTAATAACATGTTCTTGTTAATACTCTGGAAAAAATACAATTCACTATTAATAAAACTGTACACATTTTGTCAATACTGGGATCACAGGTTCAGAATACTGGCATCACAGGTCAGAATACTGGGGTCACAGGTTAGAATACTGGAATCATAGGTCAGAATCCTGGGATCACAGGTAAGAATACTGGGATGGGATCACAGGTCAGAATACTGGGGTCACAGATCAGAAAACTGGGGTCACAGGTCAGAATACTGGGAGCCGGCGGTGCCAGTGTGGGTGATTACTGGGAGCAGAGAAAAGCTCTTTTCATGCAATCGACTCATTTATGACTCAATGCTTTCTTGCCATGTATGCATGTACTGTGTGTAATGTATTTATGCATGTACAGTGGGGCCAAAAAGTATTTAGTCAGCCTCTGATTGTGCAAGTTCTCCTACATAGAATAATGAGAGAGGTCTGTAATTTTCATTATATGTTAGGGCTGTCGCGGTTATGGAATTTCCCTTGCGGTAATGTTGAGTGGCTCAATAGCGCGATATGCGGTATTACCGCCATTTATTTATTTATTTAATTTATAAGTATTTGTTGCTATATAAATAAAGTTTACGATGTGGACAAAAACGAGGTCATTTAACCAATAACTGAAACTAAACAGCGTCTATATGCGCATTGAAAGCATGATTGAAAGGCTATCACTCAGCGCGCATATTGTTATGACAACGGACTTTGAACCGTTCATTCAACAAACACGTTCAAAGAAGCTGATTCGTTAAAAGAGATGTAATGAAACAAGATGTTAATTATTTTTAACTTTGATTTTAACTTTAACTTTGTTCCACTTTTCAAGGCTCAGCTGATCAGCAATGCGTCGCATGGGTAACGCGGAAGCTGATGCTTCACTTATTAGAGACCAATATGGCATTGATTCAAAATGCGTGACTCTGTGATATTATTTTCTGCGGCTTCCTCGCGCTGTGGGATTCTGACCAGTGCTGCTGCTGACGCGCATTTGTGGAAAATACCCGTGACGTGAAGCTTAAAATGATGATACGACAAATATTTCGCTTTCCTTTGACACGGCAACCTTTTCACGACTTCAAAGACAGACGCAGGTAATCGCACGCGCTCTGCAGATCTCTCTCATTCACTGTCTGTGTGAAGCCTCTGTAGGCTACACATCACCAAGATAAACAGTCTTGTTATCATTATGAACTTGTTTAGCATTCAATACACATGCATGAAGTTCAAAACAAGAAGAAGTCTTATAAAAAAAAAAACGTGAATATCGCGGTTGCTGCGGTTACGTGCAATCCTCTGCGGTTGACCTGCCAGAAGCGCGGTACTGCAATATTGCGGTTATCGCGACAGCCCTATCATATGTACACTTCAACAATGAGAGACAAAATGAGAAAAAAAAATCCAGGAAGTCACATTGTAGGATTTAAAGAATTCATTTGTAAATTAGGGTGAATAATAAGTATTTGGTCACCCACAAACCAGCAAGATTTCTGGCTCTCACAGACCTGTAACTTCTTCTTTAAGAAGCTCTTCTGTCCTCTACTCGTTACCTGTATTATGGGCACCTGTTTGAACCCGTTATCTGTATAAAAGACACCTGTCCACAGCCTCAAACAGTCACACTCCAAACTCAACCATGGCCAAGACCAAGAGCTGTCGAAGGACACCAGGAAGAAAATTGTAGACCTGCGCCAGGCTGGGAAGAGTGAATCTACAATAGGCAAGCAACTTGGTGTGAAAAAAATCAACTGTGGGAGCAACTGTAGGCTCAGCAGCACCTGTACTTCCTGCGCAAACTCAGACGGGCAAGTGCTCCACCATCCATCATGAGCACTTTCTACAGAGGCACCATTGAGAGCATTCTTTCCAGCTGCATTACTGTGTGGGGTGGGAGCTGCTCTGAATATAACAGAAAAGCTCTTCAGCGCATAATAAACACAGCCGGAAAGATCATTGGTGCACCACTCCCATCCCTGAAAGACATATATAATTCCCGTCTCATCTGCAAAGCGGCCTCAATTGCGAGCGATGAAAGTCATCCAGCTCACAATTTGTTCAACCTCCTGCCATCTGGGAAAAGGTACAGAAGCCTCCACTCCCGCACAACCAGATTCTATAACAGCTTCTTCCACCAGGCTGTCAGGATGCTGAACTCTCTCCCCTCAGCCACCAGGCCGTCAAGAAGATGACAACCCCCTTCCCCCACCCCCACCCCCAATGATGTCCTTGCACTAACATATCATTTGCACACTTTGATGCTGCTATGACTGAACTGTCTTTGCACTACTATGCAATTTGCACATTTCTGATGTTCGCTACGACTAAAACTTTCTTGCACTATCATGCCACTTGCAGACTTAATTTTTAAATGTCTATTTATTGAGGTCCACATATAGTGATAATATATGTTTAACTTTAGTCTAGGTTTAACTACATGTTTAATTTATGTAAATTGTTGTTTCTTTGTCTGTCTTCACCGTGGGATAGAGGGAAACGTAATTTCGATTGCTTGTATGTCTGGAGCATGTGAAAAATTGACAATAAAGCTGACTGATGACTACTAATGACTAACTGTAAGAAAATAGAAGACATACAAGACCACTGATAATCTCCCTTGATCTGGGGCTCCACGCAAGATATTATCCAGTGGGGTCAAAATGATCATGAGAACGGTGAGCAAAAATCCCAGAACTACACAGAGGGACCTGCAGAGTGTTACGCTGAAGGCTGAAGCAGATGCAGAAGCAAAATCCAAGTGCAGCATAATTTAAAGAAACTCAAACGGTAACAAACTCAGATAAAGTAACAAACTCAGACAAAAACCCGGGAACAGCCAACATCAAGAACTCACAAAGACTGAAATAAGACACAGGGCTTAAATACACAGACAGACAAGCTAAACAAGATAACAAGGGGGCGTGTTAAGAAACACCTGGGATGACTAATCAGCATAACAGGGAACTGCTAAACATAGGCTGAGATAGTGGAACACAGACAGGAATCGTGACTTAGCCCTCCCCCAAAGAGCGGCTTCCAGATGCTCAAAAAAAAAAAAAAAACAAAGAAAAAGAACAAAACTGTCCAGGTGGGAGGTGAAGCGGAGGCGGATCTGGGGGCGGGATGGAGGTCTGTGGAGCAGAAGAGGAACAGAAGACCACGGTGGAGCAGGGTACCAGGGCGGATCAGGCTGTGCAGGAGACCAGGGCGGAGCAGACCCCTCGGGCGGCCAGGGCAGAGCAGACCAGACCCATCGGGCAGCCAGGGCGGTGATGCCCTCTCAGGACCAGACACCGGCTCGGGACCAGACACCGGCTCAGGAACAAACACCAGCTCGGATGCGGCCATCTTGTCCGTAGACACTGGCTCGGAGGAGGCTTTCTTGTCCTTATACACTAGCTCGGAGGCGATGACGTGAAAAGTCTCTGGATTGGCAGAAGTAATGTGAACTGGCGCGAAAGTGGCCATCTTGTCCTCAGACACTGGCTTGGAGGCGGCCATCTTGTCCTTAGACACTGGCTCGGAGGCGGCCATCTTGTCCTTAGACTCTGGCTCGGCAGAAGTGACGTGAAGCGTCTCTGGCTCGACAGAAGTGACCTGAACAATCTCTAGTTTGGCTGGACTGACGTGATGTGCAGGCTCGGCATGAAGCTCAGGCATGTCGTGGTGAAGCTCTGGCTGGACGTGGCTGACGTGAAGCTCTGGCTGAGGTGATATGGTGGGCTCACATAGGTCCTCCACCACGCCCACAGTAAACGATGATCCGCTCAACAGAAGGGCCAGGTCAATATACTGCACTAAAGTTCCATGAGGATTATGCATGGGCATGAATGAACTGCGGTTCAGATAGTCCTCCCCGAAAAAAGATCATAAGGCATACCTCTTCTATGCAGGTCATGTGAGCCAGCTCCAAAAAGTCAACAACATAATTCTCAATGGATTGATCTCCTTGACGGAGACACATAAGCTTGACTGCTGGATTTATGATGGTGATCGCTGCTGGATCTTGGTGTGGTGAGTTCTTCTGTTACGCTGAAGCAGATGCAGAAGCAAAATCCAAGTGCAGCATAATTTATTAAAGAAACTCAAACGGTAACAAACTCAGATAAAGTAACAAACTCAGACAAAACCTCAGAACCGGGAACAGCCAACATACAACGTCAAGAACTCACAAAGACTGAAATAAGGCACAGGGCTTAAATACACAGACAGGCAAGCTAAACAAGATAACAAGGGGGCGTGGTAAATAAGAAACACCTGGGATGACTAATCAACATAACAGGGAACTGCTAAACATAAGCCGTTTCTCAATATGCGTACTTGTCTGTACTTGTGTTCTTGTGGACTTGTGAAACGTCATCAGTCGTTGCCCAAGTACTGTTCCAATTCAAAGTTCACATCTAGCCAAGTCCACTTCAAATCCCCGGATGTGTTCTTGATCCGCCCCGTTTACCGAGGATGCATCGAGAGGTGACTTGTGTGGACTTGAGATAGCCAGGTAACCCAGAATGCACCTCGCACCAACCAGCAAGCGTCAATAGGAGAGAAGAAAATCCACGAAATATCAAAATACTACTGTTATTGAGTCATGAAATGTAATTTTAAGAGTGTTTCAGGCGAGAATGTGGTTGTTTAAATCTCAAATCTGTAGTTTATTTATAAAGATAGCGCCTATCTGAAAAATGCATCTGACGTTTTCGGAGTTCTGCCATCCAAGCGTTCAGCGGACACTCAGCGAGATTAACCCCGACTGGAACAGCTTATCCTCGGCTAGTGCTTCTCACGTTTGCCGCCGGCTCTGATCTCTCTAGTCTAGTGGATAAACCTTGACGTATAATAATTTGTCTCATGTAAGTCTATCTTTGGTCTCATTAAATATAGTTTGTTCCATGGCAAAAAAAAATAAATAGTTTTTGAGGTTTCATAACTTTATGGCTATCTAACTTTAACAACATTTTTTTATATTATTTTCACTATATGAACAATAAAATAAAATGACATAACCCTGTTTCTGTTTGATAAATGTCAATAAAAATCAATGTTTCATATTTTTAAAATGAAAACAAAAAGATCATGTTCATTTTGTTATAAATATATGCATATTTATATATATATATATATATATATATATATATATATATTGTTAATGAAAAGAGTCAGAGTGGTGTTATATAACATATTTCGTTTTATTGTTGACGAAAAGATGCAGAGTTGTAGCAAATTTCGTTTTATTGTTGCCTAAAATATAGGCTATATAAAGAGATGACCGGAGTAGCCAGAGCGTGCTAAGTGACGCGATCAAGAACGATTTGTTCCATTTGCAGAAAAACCGGACTTGCGTCCTCGCATCCTCGGGAGTTTGTTCTCCTGAGTCGAACTTGGCAAGTCTGAACTACCAAGGACGCAAGTCCGAAGTCTGCGTACTTGGTATTGAGAAACGGCTATAGGCTGAGATAGTGGAACACAGACATGAATCGTGACACAGAGAGCTAGGACCAAAGTAACAAAGGCTACCATAAGTAACACACTACACCGAGAGGGACTCAAAACTTGCAGTGCCAGGCGTGTCCCCATGGTTAAGCCAGTACATGTCCAGGCCTGTCTGAAGTTTTCCAGAGAGCCTATGGATGATCCAGAAGAGGATTGGGAGAATATCATGTGGTCAAAATAGAACTTTTTGGTAAACACTCAACTCGTCGTGTTTGGAGGAAGAAAAATGCAGAGTTGCATCCCAAGAACACCATACCTACTGTGAAGCATGGGGATCATGCTTTGGGGCTGTTTTTCTGCAAAGGGGACAGGAAAACTGATCCGTGTTGAGGGAAGAATGAATGGGGCCATGTATCGTGAGATTTTAAGCCAAAACCTCCTTCCATCAGTGAGAGCCTTCAAGATAAAACGTGGCTGGATCGGTAACACTTTAGAATACGGTTCCTTCGTTAATGAATAACTACACAAGAACTAATGAGTAACACAATATTAACAATCTAGTAACTATTATTAACTAACAAGAAACTCTGATTAACGAACTAGTAAGTAATAGCGCACAAACGAAAGTGGTAGTTCACTATTAAGTAATCAATAACTTCTATTTTTTTTAATACTTCCCAGAGAACTACTGAAAAAGTTTAACAATCTAGTAACTACTATTACCTAAAATAAACTCTTATTAACGAATTAGTAAGTAATAGCTCACCAATGAAAGTGTTACTAGATACTTCTGTGGGAATTACTAATTATTTGGATTTGTATTATAAAGTGAAGATCATTGGAACTAACTAGTAATTACTCAAGTGTTACTAAAGACATTTTCTAAAAGTTACTAAAGTTCACCAAAAAATCTCAGACATTTGCACAAATCATGACTAGATCATGTAGTAACACTTGAGTCATTACTAGTTAATTCCAATGATCTTCACTTTATAATACGGATCCAAATAATTAGTAATTCCCACAGAAGTATCTAGTAACACTTTCATCTGTGAGCTATTACTTACTAATTATTTGGATCTGTATTATAAAGTGAAGATCATTGGAACTAACTAGTAATTACTCAAGTGTTACTAAAGACATTTTCTAAAAGTTACTAAAGTTCACCAAAAATCTCAAACATTTGCACAAATCATGACTAGATCATGTAGTAACACTTGAGTAATTACTAGTTAGTTCCAATGATCTTAACTTTATAATACGGTTCCAAATAATTAGTAATTCCAACAGAAGTATCTAGTAACACTTTCATCTGTGAGCTATTACTAACTAATTCGTTAATAAGAGTTTCTATTAGTTAATATTAGTTACTAGATTATTAATAAACTTTTTCAGTAGTTTTCTGGGAAGTATTAAAAAATATTAGTTATTGATTACTTAATAGTGAACTACCACTTTTGTCTGTGCGCTATTACTTACTAGTTTGTTAATCAGAGTTTCTTGGTAGTTAATAATAGTTACTATATTGTTAATATTGTGTTACTCATTAGTTCTTGTGTAGTTATCCATTAACAAATTCATTAACCGTATTCTAAAGTGTTACCGCTGGATCTTCAAGCATGAAAATGATCCCAAACACACCGCCCAGGCAACGAAGGAGTGGTTCCGTAAAAAGCATTTCAAGGTCCTGAAGTGGCCTAGCCAGTCTCCAGACCTCAACCCCATAGAAAATTTGTGGAAAGAGTTGAAAGTTCGTGTGTCCCAGCGACAGCCCCAAAACATCACTGCTCTAGAGGAGATCTATGGAGGAATGGGCCAAAATACCTTCTACAGTGTGTGCAAACCTGGTAGACTTACAAGAAACCTTTGGCCTTGTCATTGCCAACAAAGGTTATGTTACAAAGTATTGAGTTGAACTTTTGTTATTGACCAAATACTTATTTTCCACCATAATTTACAAATAAATTCTTTAAAAATCCTACAATGTGATTTCCTGGATTTTTTTCTCATTTTGTCTCTCATAGTTGAAGTGTACCTATGATGAAAATTACAGACCTCTCTCATCATTCTAAGTAGGAGATCTTGCACAATCATTGGCTAACTAAATACTTTTTGGCCCCACCTTTTTGTAAAGTGTTACCAAACATTCACAGTGGTGTGTGATACATGTATGATGTGGAAAATCTTTTCCTTTTCTTTTCTTTTTTGGCGAGGCCAGTTGTATTGTATGTATGCATGTGTGCGTTTATGTAGGTATTTATGCATGTATGTATGTATGTATGTTATGTACTGTATGTATGTACTATATGTAATGTATTTATGCATGCATGCATGTATGTATTTATTTATGCATGTACTGTATGTATGTATGTTTGTATGTATGTGTGTACCGGTATGCATGTATGTGTATACACACACTCACACCAATATACAGTATATTTATAAGATATATATTACGCTGTTATTGAAGGTTTGCTACCGTGGGTGAAGTTAGTGGACACGTTTGAAGCACAGTACACGTACATCACCAACGAGGGCACTGTCTTTACTCTACGCACCAACCTGGAGGCTCCTCGTTACCGTCTCATTACCATAGACCTGCAGAAACCAGAGCAGAAGCACTGGAACACACTCATTCCCCAGCACGAGAAGGACGTCCTGGGTAAGAGAAAAATCCAGAAAAAAAAAAAAGAATAAAGGTAGTGTCATGATCCTGGTTCCTTCTCTCTTTCTGTTCTCTGTCTCCATCTGCTGGACACACACACATCCACACACTCTGACTCTCATCCATTATTGCGCTCTCATCTGTTTCAGCTGTTCCTCGTTCTTTCATCTCCTCACCTGCTCTCCATCTCTGATCATTAGTCTCTCTATTTCTAGCTTTCTCTTTCATCCCTTCTCTGTCGGATTATTGCTATCGTCACGTATGTTGCCGTACTTGTGTTTCATCCACTGATCAAGATTCCAGTCGTGTCTTGTCCTGTCTAGCACTGCTTATTATTTTGGGTGTTATGTTACCTGATTTGTCCTGTGTCCAGTGCTGAGCCACGGGTTACCGCTGAGGGTGCAACGTCTCACCTGTCTTCCTGCTCTACTAACTCCCGAGGCTTTGGGACCTTCCGCTTTGGCTTCACTCTGCTTCTCAAAAATTTAAGGAGAACTTTTCTCTGTTAAAAGGGCCTAAGCGGCTTTGCCCTATTGAACCTTTCGTTGATATACGGCCGTTGCGGCTTTGCCTAATTTGTCATTAAAGACTGAGTTACCCACCAGACGCTTTCTGAGGTTTCTTCTCCAGTATCCCGTGACAGGTAGTCGAAATATGAGGTTGATGTTAGACAGCTCCAAACATTCAGTAACACTTTACAATATGGTTCATTGGTTAACACTAACAATGAGCAATACATTTGTTACAGTATTTAATAATCTTATCTATTAATGTTAGTAACGTACAACCCAGAAGCGCTGCTCAGAAGAACATGAAAAGTTGAATAAAGTCGTTATTATTTTATTTTTTTGCACACAAAAATATCTTCATTTGTGTTCCGAAGATGAACGAAAGTCTTACGGGGTTGAACAACATGAGGGAGAGTAATTACTGACAGAGTTTACATTTTGGGGTAAACTATGGAAAAAATACAATTCACAAATTTCTTAAACAGTAAACATTGTTTTTAAGAATTATTCTGGCCAACATAAATTTTAATTAATAAATTGTATTGAATTAAGACAAACACACACACACACACTTCCACTTCACCCACACTATCATTAACTCATTTCCAATAAAATCAAAAGAGCTGCAGAACTACAGTGTACAGTGTAACAGTTTGTGTATCGGGTGCGCAGGGTTTGTGGAATGTGTGAACCAGCGCTTCCTGCTGGTGAATTATGTGCATGACGTGAAGGACATCCTACAGCTGTATGAACTTCAGTCGGGGAAACTGATCCGAGACCTGCCGTTAGAAGTGGGAACTGTAACCGGTCTGAGCTGCAAGAAAAAACACGCTGACTTCTTCTACAAGTTCACCTCATTCACTACACCGGGTGAGTGCAGTAAAACAATCAAAATATATACAAAATATACAAAGTATGAAGAAACTACTACAGCAGTAAAAACTAGGGATGCACGATATATCTGCTGATATATGGTCCTTTTTAATGTTATCGTTATCGGTTATCGGCCCGACATTATAAATAATCTATTTTTCCTTCAGCTGAGATGCCTCCGATGCGCACTGTTCAACATGATGGGTTTTAATTGCTGGAAATATGATTGGAATCACTTCAAAAAGGAAAATTACTGTTAAGTGTAATATGTGCAGTTCAAGTTTGTCATATAGGCTATACATTTTAATAATAAAAACATTGTCATTGTGTGTTTGGCACATGAATTTTAATGGTGGGTTTTTTTTTTTTAGTATTTAGATTTATTTTGTAGGCTTTCAAATATAAAGAATTATTGGTATCTGCCAAAATGTTTAAATCAGTGTATTCCTATAGTAAAAACAGAAGTAAGTGCATGTGCATTTCCGGTGTGAGAAAAGTGTTTTTATTGTCTATATGTAATCACTCAGGTATAATCTACCACTGTGACCTGAGTCGGGCCGACCCTGAGCCCACAGTCTTCCGGCAGGTAGAGGTGAAGGGAATCCAGGCCAGCGATTACCACACCACTCAGGTCTGTCCCCAAATAACACACCACTCAGGCCTGACCCCGAATAACACTGTTACTGTTTACACCGAACAACACACCACTCAGGGTCTGACCTCGAATAACACACTCAGGTCTGACCCCCAATAACACACCACTCAGGTCGGACCCCGAATAACACACCACTCAGGTCTGACCCCGAATAACACACCACTCAGGTCTGACCCAAATAACACACCACTCAGGTCTGTCCTCGAATAACACAGCACTCAGGTCTGACCCGAATAACACCACTCAGGTCTGACCCGAATGACACACTACTCAGGTCTGACCCGAATGACACACTACTCAGGTCTGACACCGAATAACACACTACTCAGGTCTGACCCGAATAACACAGCACTCAGGTCTGTCCTCGAATAACACAGCACTCAGGTCTGACCCGAATAACACACTACTCAGGTCTGACCCGAATAACACACTACTCAGGTCTGTCCCCGAATAACACACCACTCAGGTCTGACCCGAATAACACACTACTCAGGTCTGACCCGAATAACACACTACTCAGGTCTGTCCCCGAATGACACACCACTCAGGTCTGACCCGAATGACACACTACTCAGGTCTGACCCGAATGACACACTACTCAGGTCTGACACCGAATAACACACTACTCAGGTCTGACCCGAATAACACAGCACTCAGGTCTGTCCTCGAATAACACAGCACTCAGGTCTGACCCGAATAACACACTACTCAGGTCTGACCCGAATAACACACTACTCAGGTCTGTCCCCGAATAACACACCACTCAGGTCTGACCCGAATAACACACTACTCAGGTCTGACCCGAATAACACACTACTCAGGTCTGTCCCCGAATAACACACCACTCAGGTCTGACCCGAATAACACACTACTCAGGTCTGTCCCCGAATAACACACCACTCAGGTCTGACCCGAATAACACACCACTCAGGTCTGACCCCGAATAACACACCACTCAGGTCTGACCCGAATAACACACTACTCAGGTCTGACCCCGAATAACACACCACTCAGGTCTGACCCGAATAACACACTACTCAGGTCTGTCCCCGAATAAAACACCACTTAGGTCTGACCCGAATAACACACCACTCAGGTCTGACCCGAATAACACACTACTCAGGTCTGTCCCCGAATAACACACCACTCAGGTCTGACCCGAATAACACACCACTCAGGTCTGACCTGAATAACACACTACTCAGGTCTGACCCCGAATAACACACCACTCAGGTCTGACCCCGAATAACACACCACTCAGGTCGGACCCCTAATAACACACCACTCAGGTCTGACCCGAATAACACACCACTCAGGTCTGACCCGAATAACACACCACTCAGGTCGGACCCCTAATAACACACCTCTCAGGTCTGTCCCCGAATAACACACTACTCAGGTCTGACCCCGAATAACACACCACTCAGGTCGGACCCCTAATAACACACCACTCAGGTCTAACCCAAATAACACACCACTCAGGTCTGACCCCGAATAACACACCACTCAGGGTCTGACCCCGAATAACACACCTCTCAGGTCTGTCCCCGAATAACACACTACTCAGGTCTGACCCCGAATAACACACCACTCAGGTTGGACCCCTAATAACACACCACTCAGGTCGGACCCCTAATAACACACCACTCAGGTCTGACCCCGAATAACACACCACTCAGGTCTGACCCAAATAACACACCACTCAGGTCGGACCCCTAATAACACACCTCTCAGGTCTGACCCCGAATAACACACCACTCAGGTCGGACCCTTAATAACACACCTCTCAGGTCTGACCCTGAATAACACACCACTCAGTTAGGACCCCTAATAACACACCACTCAGGTCTGACCCAGAATAACACACCACTCAGGTCGGACCCCTAATAACACACCTCTCAGGTCTGTCCCCGAATAACACACCACTCAGGTCTGACCCCGAATAACACACCACTCAGGTCTGACCCAAATAACACACCACTCAGGTCGGACCCCTAATAACACACCTCTCAGGTCTGTCCCCGAATAACACACCACTCAGGTGTGGCCCCGAATAACACAGCACTCAGGTCTGTCCCCGACTAACATGATTTTCATTTGAACCTTTCTGGATCCGCCATCAAATTGATGAGTTTAATTATATCGAGTGCTGTCAGAAAAGGCTATAAATCTCCTCCAGCATCCTCACACTCACAGCCGACCTGCCGAGACTCTTCTTTGTGTGTACAGATGTGTGTGTGTAAAGATGTGTGTGTGTGTGTGTGTACAGATGTGTGTACAGATGCAAAGACATGCTCGAGTCTGCCACGGAAATCCACCAGTACCGAAAGAAAATGTATCATGGCATATCATGTATTTGTGTGTGTGTATTCTCTAATGTTCGGAATGTTTGAGAGGTAGTGTAATAATACACAGCTGATTGTGTGTGTGTGTGTGTGTGTTTCAGGTGTTTTACCCCAGTAAAGATGGCACACAGATCCCGATGTTCCTGGTCCACGCGTCTGGCATCGAGAGAGACGGATCTCATCCGGTGTTCCTGTACGGATACGGAGGATTCGAGAACTCTATCCAGCCGCACTACAAGTCAGTGTGAAGATCTCTGTGTGTGTCTGACTAAAGTAGACTAATATACAAAAATAGCACAATATTTGTGTATGTGTGTGCAGTTCTGCATACCTGGTGTTTATAAGACACCTGGGTGGGATCCTGGCCGTAGCGAACATCCGAGGAGGAGGAGAGTACGGCCAGACCTGGCACAAAGGTATCAGCATCTAGTAAACATGTAATAATAAAAAATACATATATTTATAAATTAAAAATAAACATTATTAAATAAATAAATACAAATAAACATATATAAATAATAAATTAAATACATATTTTTTTTTTATGAATATGAACGAATAATAAATCATATATAAATAATTAATTAACAAATAAAAGTGAAATTACAGCTGTAATTAGTTCAACACTAGGTTCTTGAGTTGCTCAGAGATGTGAAACTCTCCGGTTTCTGACGACTGCATGAAAGTGAAACTTAATACCAGCTTTGAGAGTTTGTGGAGTGTTTTTTTGAGTCACTTATCGGACAATCTGTTCCTCTAGAGGACTGAGATACAAAATGACTGTTGAAACCAAAATGTCAGAACTATGAAGTATTCATGCTCGATGTTTTTAACATTACAATAACAACTAATTATTTTAAAAAAGAATAGAAGTAGTGAACTGCATCTAAACATACAATAATTATAGCATCTTAAAAGTTTAGACACTCGATTGTTTTCAAATGACCATTTATTTAAAAAAAAAAAACATATTCATCTTTTAACTAAAACATTTAAATGTGGTAATATTAAAGACTTATTACTTTTTACGTACATCAAGATTTTATTGACTGTAGTTCTTTTTGTTTGTATATTTTTCAAATCCACTACAATCAAATACCATGAACCTTTTCTGGTGACATTTTTGAGAAAGTACTACTCTGCAAAAACTTATTTTCCTCCTCAGTATATTTGTCTTGTTATCAAGATATAATCTAATTACAACCTATATTGCCATATTTAAAGAAAAAAGTTGTGCTTAAAACAAGAATAAATATCTGTCAGAGGAGTCAGAATAATCATCTAGTTTGTAGTTAGTTAATATCTTCAGTCATGTAGTTTCTTCTCCAATGTATCTTGATTTAAGAATGTTTAGATGTTTTTACTGGAAAACAAGACAGAAACACTGAGGAAGAACATCATTTTTGCAGTGTGTATTTTTGATTTTGTATTTAAACATGAAATATTTTGAATATAATAAAAATGTATTTATGTCCACATATTTCCATATTTTTTTTTTTGAGAAATTATATTTACACACTTCAACTCACAGTTTATATGGGACATTTTAAATACTGTAAAGTTATTCTTATCTAATATGACCTCATGAGTAGAGCTTTAGTAGAAGTGGCCCAGTGTACCCCGCTCCCCTTTAGCTTTAACTCCAGACGGCTTTAAAGAAAGGCTTCTGATTTTAGCGGGCACTCTTGGGAACAAGCAGAACTGTTTCGACGACTTTCAGTGTGCAGCCGAGTACCTGATCCGAGAGGGCTTCACCCGAGCCGACCGCATCGCCATCAACGGAGCCTCCAACGGCGGTCTTCTCGTGGGTGAGTGTGTGGAAGCGCTCTATGGAAACAGTTTACACACACAGGGTTACAAATAAACACGCTAAATGCAGATACAAATCAGCAAATGGTCGAATCACGAGCCAGTGTGGCGTTACTTAAAATGTTTACTCACTTTACAAATCTGCACAGATTTAGCACAAAAACTCATGAGGCATGATACATTAAAGGGATAGTTCACTTTGAAATTAATTTTTGATATGTTTTAGCTTACCTCAAGGGCATCCAAGATGCAGGTGTCTTTGTTTTCACAGTATTTTCAATTTTGACATTTTTCGGTCAAACCGGTGTTGTCTAAAAGACATATAATGCAGTTTTAGGGGGTCCACCTCAAAGAGCATGCACAGAGAAGTCAAAATTAAATATGATTTAATGACTCGTAAATGTAAGTACACATTGATGGCCTAAGACACGAAACGAGTGGTTTGTGTGAGAAAAACTAACAGTATTTATATAGTTTTTACCTCTTGTTAACAGCCGTCGAGCTGATCTGAATCAGATATACAACTGAACCGAACTAAACCGTCTCCAGACGTTACGCCGGAAGTGATCTCTCGCGAGTCTACGTCACGCATTGTTTACACTGAGATTTCGTAGTTTTACCTTTCACTAAACATATTTAAATCGCAATGGAAGACGATTTCGATATATCTAAATATGTTTAGTGAAAGGTAAAACTTCCGAATTCATAAATTGAATTCATAAATGAATTCAAATGTGGATTCACAAGTGGTTGTTCCTGAAGGAGGGCTCAGTAACTTACTTACCCAGTGTATATGGATCAGCTTCCTCCTATGAATCACAACCCAGATAGCAAACTGACATTCAACGTAGATCAACGTAGAAACATGACATCGAAACAACGTTGATCTGACATTGTTTTGCTCATCGAATTAACGTTGAACCAACGTAAGACGCGTCATTCTTTCAAAACTAACGGAAAATCAACTTGAAATCAACGCGTTGTTTCAACGTTATGAAAGCAAACCAATTTTCGATTTTCATTTAGCTTTGAAGAATGCCGCGTCTGACGTTGGTTCAACGTTAATTCGATGAGCAAAATCAACGTTGTTTCAATGTCATGAGAGACGTCGTTTCCACGTTGATTCAATGTCAGTTTGCTGTCTGGGAACCTGTAAGTATTATTAATAATTGTTGCTTTTATGGGTTTTGAACGGTTTTGTAGCGTCGGGCACGAGGAGGGAAGGCGCAATAAGTATGTGTGTGTGTAATTTACGCTCAGCGGTGCTTCTAGGTCTCCAATGTCAATTTTTTTTTTTAAATATGTGAAATGTTTGTCCCTGTTATTGGACTTGTCATAAAGAATAGAGCGTCTTGTTGTACTGAAGTGCTTTATCGTGGTTTGAGTCGTTGTACGAATCATTTGGGAGTCGGTGAGCAAATCAGTTAAAAATAAATGCATATTATAAGACAAATAAAGTGTTTTTTATCCTTGCATGCATGTTAAACTGTTTTGGGGAACTCCTAAAACAAAAATAGGAACATTTCAAATGCTATGATAGGGGCTCTTTAAATGCATTGAAGCAACTACCATGATTGGTTGGTTGATTAGATTATTGCATTAATGAGAAATTGAACAGGTGTTCCTAATAATCCTTTAGATGAGTGTATTTAAATAAACTGTTGCTGCGTCCCAATTCGCTTATAGTACGCCCTAAAAGTATGTACTCTTTTTGTGAGGAAAAAGTACATACTTTTGAGTGTGTAGCAAAAAGTAGGCAACCTTTGGGACGTACTATCATGTCATCTTTAACGGACAGCTCTGTCGCGTGCTGCGTGCATCCTGTCACCGTAAACTGCCCTGTCAATCATCTTGTCACAGTTAAAATCCTCCATTCTATCTAATTTTATTTCCTTCCGTTTCGGAGAGCACGTTCATCTGTCAGTTGTGGGTCTCTCCTCATGTTTGCAATTTGAATATGATGATGCATTTAAAACATAATCGCTAAACGTGTCTTTACAAAAGTTCACAATGTTGCTGCAAATGCAATATAATGTGGACAGCATTGAATAAATTCATTTTCGTCAGGTTATATACTGATAATTAATCAGTCAAAGCTCTTTATCTAAACCTCTCTACACAACCGCGGGGACTCGCGCGTCCTCCGTATCGACTACGGGTCTGTATTTTTTTAACACTTTTTACTCGTGTTTGTAGTTCTAACCGAATCCTCGTCCAACGCGCAATGGTTTGTGGGCAATATCAGCTGTTAGAGTGTGCATCGATCTACACTTCGGATTCTGACCGGAAAAAGTAGACCATCCGGGTATCTTTGAAACACTAATTTCAACATACTACGATTTGGGACGTACTAATTCTATTTTCGAATACTATTTAGGACGGATAGTATGCGAATTGGGACGCAGCATGTGACTTAGTTAATCTAGTTTATTTCTCTCTTTTTTTCTTTCTTATTTTTGGCTAGTAGAAGTTCTGAATGGCTGGTAAGATTTATTAACCAAAACGGCTGGTGAGTGAGAAAGTTGGACACAATAATCTCCAGCGAATGAAAAAGTGATCACTCGACAGCTCACACACTCACACACTCGTCTTCTTTGCACATGGTTAAATCAGAGTCAGCCTGTAATGGAAACGTATGGCTGTGCAGCTATGAGGATCTAATGGTGTGTGTGTGTGTGTTGTGTGTCTTTACTCACAGCGAGCTCTTCTGTTGAGTAAACATGACATTGACACTTAGAGCTGCTCACTCTTCACTCTCATTACACAGCAGATTTAGCAGGACAAATACTGTTTCAATCTCTGTCATATTCACTGTAGAGAGAGAGAGAGTGAGTAAGTGTGTGTGTGTGTGTGTGTGTGTGTGTGTGTGCGCCGATCCAGATGTTTAGTCACAGTGTAGATTCATGGCCTTTAAAAATGTGAGGTCTGTCAAATCGGGAAGTTCTATCTGAGTAATCCACACATGTGAAGCCCAGTCATTTAAGGCGCAGGTATGTGAGTCAGTGTGTCTGGTAAACACGGAGTGTGTCTGGCCATTTCATACAGTGGAGAAGAGTGAGTGATCTGTGTTTTTATAAGGCCAGACAAGTAATTCGTGGAGATCAATTTGTAAAGACATATTCAAACACGCATATCTATAGACTAAACACGTAATCCTCATGTGCACGCCGAGTTTCACAGATTCGTGTTTCTGAGGCGCGCTATATAAACGGAGGTGACTTGACTTGTTTTCCTGTGTGTTTTTGTTCAGGCGCGTGTGTGAACCAGCGGCCCGATCTCTTCGGTTGTGCCGTCGCTGAGGTCGGGGTCATGGACATGCTCAAGTTTCACAGATTTACCATCGGTCACGCCTGGACCACCGACTATGGCTGTGCGGACGATCCGGAGCAGTTTCAGTGGCTCATCAAGTACAGCTTCTGTCTCCTCACAAACCTAGAACTGTATATGAAGAGTTCAGATGCAAAAGCCGCTAAAAGCCATTTGAAATTTTCTTCTTTAATGATGATTTTTTATCAAACTTGTATATTTAAGTTCAGTAATTTCACTTAAATAACAATTAATAGGTAATTATCATTGCCATTTAAGTGAAATCACTGAACTTATACAAGCTTGATAAAAATGATCATTCTAGAAGAAAATTTCAAATGGCACTTAGAGGCTTTTGCATCTGAACTCTTCATATATAAACCTATACTGTATATATGCTATACAAACCTATACTGTATACATAAACCTATGCAGAATATGCTATACATAAACCTATAACTGTATAAGTTAAAGGATTAGTTCACTTTTGAAAAAACTTTTATAATTTACTCACCCCCATGTCATCCAAGATGTCCATGTCTTTCTTTCCTCAGTCGAAAAGAAATTTAGGTTTTTGATGAAAACATTCCAGGATTTTTCTCCATATAATGGACTTCAATGGGAACCGGATGGTTCAGGTCCAAAAGACAGTTAATAACTGTTTCAGATGCAGCTTCAAATGTCTTTAAACGACACCAGATGATGAATAAGGGTCTTATCATGCGAAACGATCGGTTATTTCAAAGCTTATTCCAAAAATGTAACTTTTCTAAGGACAAATGCTAGCCTTTCTCCATTCTGTGAGGCGCATTTGTAACGTTATGTAGTACGTAATTACGTTCAAAAGGTCACGGGCGACGTAGCCAGAAGTACAGAGTCAGAGTGTTTACAAGTTAAACGCATAGGTTGAACGTGAAAACTAACTCAAACGCCGTTTACAAAAAAGGAATTAAAAGGTAAAACAACGATGTCGGACGATTTTGATTCTGTACTTCCGGCTACGTCGCCCGTGACCTTTTGAACGTAAATACGTATTACGTGACGTTACAAACGCGCCTCACAGAATAGAGCAAGGCATTTGTCCTTAGAAAAGTTACATTTTTGGAATAAGCTTTGAAATAACCGATCGTTTCGCATGATAAGACCCTTATTCATCGTCTGATATCGTTTAAAGACATTTGAAGCTGCATCTGAAACTGTTATTAACTGTCGTTTGGACCTTGAACCATCCGGTTCCCATTGAAGTCCATTATATGGAGAAAAATCCTGGAATGTTTTCATCAAAAACCTAAATTTCTTTTCGACTGAGGAAAGAAAGACATGGACATCTTGGATGACTGACATGGGGGTGAGTAAATTATCAGCAAATGTTTTTTCAAAAGTGAACTAATCCTTTAACTTAACCCTAACATATAAGAAGGCCCTCCTGTCACGTACTGTACCAACATTTTTTACCATTCCAATACAATTCCATATTAGAATAACAATGTTTGCTCTTTCACAGTCATATTGTCAGGAACTGCTCCAAGACACAAAGGTTGAGAATCCAAATGCAGTTTTTAAAGGGAAAATCCAGTTAAACCGGATAACAGGCAGTGGCGAAAACACAGGGAAATCAGTCCAAACAATGACTAACAAATCCAGAGAGTGAGACGGGTATGGGGAAACCCGGACACACACCAGGAACAGGGAAACGTGCAAGAGTGTGTAACACTTCGTAGGACTTCGTAGGAACGAATGTGAAAACCAGGCTATGGGCTCTATGCACGGCGGTATTTCCGGTGTAAGGATGCTCGATAACTTCCGCCGATCGTAGAGTCCAATGCAATACCGAGAATTGATATACTCCATGGTCATACTAAAGAAACGTTATTCACAAAAACAGATAAAACAGACACCCCTCGTTGTGTTTATGCTTCTTTTTAAAATTATATTAAATAAACATAACTATTTATAAAATCACATCTAAACGTATGTAAGTTTCGTTTCAAAGACGGGAGGACAGTAAATTTTGAAGACTCTGCCATAATCCCTTTAATAATCCATAATCCTCTGCCTTTAATCTCCACAACTGGAAATGGACGAGCATCCTTGCGTCAAATGCGGAATATAGCCCATATAGGGCGATAAAACAAGGCAATGAGGGATGACGAGTCCAGGCAGAGACTTCTGGGAAATATAGTTTCATTAGGGAATGACAGTAGTCTGGAGTGAAGCGCCCTCTGGTGGTGATGATGGGCACACAGATCTTAAAAATAACATTTCTTCAACACCAACAAGTAGTTGTAAGATAAAGAAATAATAGTCAAGTCTCCATCTATACGGCGCTTTAACAGTACAAATGTTTCACAGCAGCTAAACAGGATACTAAACATAAGTTTGATGTTTCTCTGCATAACCAAGAAGTAGTTGTAAAATAAAACTAACATTTTACAATAAGGTTAATTAATTAATGTATGAACTAACAATGAGCAATACATTTGTTACAGTATTTATTAATCTTTGTTAATGTTAGTTAATAATACTCCAGCTGTTCAGTTGTTTGTTCATGTTAGTTCACAGTGCTTCTTTAACTAACAAACACAACTTTTAATTTTAATAACGTTAGTAAATGTTGAAATTAAAATAAACTAATTTATAAATGCTGGAAAATATTGTTAATTCTTACTTCATGCTAACTAATGTTATTATACGGCACTGTGGAACGCTTGATTCTGATTGGTCAATCGCACATCCAGCGGTGTATCATTCCCCAATAATAACAGCAGAAACACACTCATCTGGGTCACTGAAGACATCAGCGCTACACACTCGCTAGGAATGGCTTTTCCGCATGGAAGTTTTGCGTTTGTCGAGCTAATGAAATATTTAAACTCAGTTACTCAATATTTTGTGTACAGTTATTTAATTATGCCATCCAGTATCACAGACTCAAATAAATCGAATAAATGTAGCTTTGATAAGCTGAAGAGACTCTTTATATGATAAGCTTGTGGCTGGTCAGCCCGTTCTCATCCCAAGGCGTCATATACGACCCTTTTGCCAAAGCAAAGACATCCAACGTACATGGCACCCTTTAGCGTCAATATGAGACGCAGTATGAATGGTCCAGAAAGGCGCCTCCTAGTGGTCTGACCCTAACCCTACCCCAGACCTAAACCTACCCATAACCGAAGCGTGTTATATTGACGCTAAAGGTTTCATGTGCGTTGGATCTCTATGCTTTAGGAAAAGGGTCGTATATGACGCCGTGGGATGAGAATGCGTTGGGCTGGTCATGTAACTGTTGCTGGTGTTTCACTTACTCCAGCTGAGGCCCAGTGTGTGTCTATTGTTTTGTTCACTGTTGAATTATGAAAAATTACAAACATGTACGATTGTAAAACAGTTTAATCTGAAATCAATATCTCATATCTCCATAATTATTAATGTGTTGAAATGCTGTGTAATAAGTGTTATGACCGTATCTCTTAAATGTTAGTTTGATATCGCCGCTGAAACGGGTCTCTCCGCGCAAGCTTTGCGTTTAAAGAGATAATAAAATATTTCAACTCAGATCAATATTTCGTGTCTAATTATTTACTTTAGTATCTGTGTAATAAGCAGATAATCTACATCCAGCTGGCTGTTATCTCAGAATAAACACCTTCAGGTGTGTGTGTGTGTGTGTTCAGGCTGATGGAGACCTGATCCTGATCACCCAGTTGGGATTATTCTGAGATACCAACCGGCTCGATGTACATCCATATTTAACTAATGAACCTTAAAGTGTAAGCAACAGTAAACACAAGTGTGTGTGTGTCCCGCACAGGTACTCTCCTCTGCACAACCTCCCTGAGGCCCCTGGAGCCGGGCCCCCGTACCCCGCAATGCTGTTGCTGACGGCGGATCACGATGACCGCGTGGTTCCTCTACACACACTGAAGTACGCAGCCGCTCTGCAGCACGGTGTGGGCCGAAGCCCGGCTCAGACGCGGCCGCTGATGGTGCGAGTCGACACGCGGAGCGGACATGGGTCCGGCAAGCCCACCGCTAAAGCCATCCTGGAGGACACGCACGTCTTCTCCTTCATCGCACACACGCTGGGCCTCAGCTGGAGAGAGTGAGACACCAGCAACAGTTACATGACCAGCCCAACGCATTCTCATCCCAAGGCGTCATATACGACCCTTTTGCCAAAGCACAGAGATCCAACGCACATGAAACCTTTAGTGTCAATATAACACGCTTCGGTTATGGGTAGGTTTAGGTCTGGGGTAGGGTTAGGGTCAGACCACTAGGAGGCGCCTTCTGGACCATTCATACTGCGTCTCATATTGACGCTAAAGGGTGCCATGTGCGTTGGATGTCTTTGCTTTGACAAAAGGGTCGTGTATGACACTTTGGGATGAGAACGGGCTGACCAGCCACAAGCTTATCATGTAAAGAGTCTCTTCTGCTCACCAAAGCTACATTTATTTGATCATAAATACAGTAAAATAGTGAAATATTACTCCAGTGTAAAGCATCTGTTTTCTATGTGAATATATAGTAAAGTGTAATTTATTCCTGTGATCAAAGCTAAATTTATCATCATTACTCCAGTCTTCAGTGTCACATGATCCTTCACAAATCACTCTAATATGAGGATCTGATGATCAATTAGTATCATTATTATTTACATGTTTATGTCAGGATTCCTTGATGAATAGAAAGTTGAAAATAACAGGATTTATCTGAAATAGAAGCTCTTGGAATGGGGGGGGGAGAAGAAAAATAAATGCTGTTCTTTTCAACTTTCTATTCATTAAAGGATGTTGTACACACACAAAAATGTACAGTTTTCTACATTGATATTAATAATGAATGATTTGATCATCAGATCCTCGTATTAGAGTGATTTGTGAAGGATCATGTGACACTGAAGACTGGAGTAATGATGATAAATTCAGCTTTGATCACAGGAATAAATTACACTTTAAATCAAATAAAAGCAGCTTTGGTGAGCAGAAGAGTAAGATTTGACTGTGTGTGTGACACTCGTCTCGTGGCGTCTGGAGAGAGAGAGACGGAGAGGAAAAGGCATGTGAGAAAAAAGGTTCTTGACTCAATTTGAAAGAATTCTAATGCCAAATGACGGCATAATACTTTCATGTTTAACATGTTTTTTTGTTTGTTTTTTTTTTTTCTTGTGATAAAGAATGCATATGAGCTGAATAATTCATTACAACAAAATCCATTATATGATCCATGCCAGAACGCTTTATGTTTCTTATGAAGACTTCATGACGCAAACTCTGAATCAACACGCACCGATACACACTTCTCTATATCATAATCATTTGTTAACAAACATACATTCATTACTTTATTGAGCTCATCATTTCTGCCTTAAATTGATAGCTTGTTTAAATTACAGTTTTTCTCGATTGTTTACACACATTTTCTGAAAGAATGCCTCATATTTTCAGAACTCTACACACAAATCTAAAAACACTCACACAATTTGCAAAACCCCTCAATTCTCCTGCAAAATGAAACTTTACATTCAAAACAATGTTATTTCTTCTCAAAATTGTATTTTGTTTTCAAATGACACACACAAACCATCAAATGAATAGACATTTAAAAGAACCAGTTGAACACTGATGTGCTCAATGTAAAACACTATGATCAATGGAAAACACTCCTTCTCCATTCATCATAATGACTTAGGCCTTTTTTTTTGTTCAGTGTTACACTTACTACAGACATTACATACATAAGTGTGTTGTAAAATATTTGAGAATATTGTTTTTTATACCCAGAACACACAAATACACGGTAACAAATATATTTTATTTTTCCCACAAAATCAATGGGAGATAGATCGCACATTTTGTACACCCCAACCAACACAAAGTTGCACATACAGTGGTCTACATACAAAACTACAGAATTTTTTATGCTGTTACAGTAAAAAAAAGAAAAAAAAATATCTATGCTGCATCTTCTCTTTGGCTTTGGTATTTTATGCTAAAGCTCTGATCACTAATTGTAAAACTTCGTGACGGGTGTTTGCCCATGTGACGAGTCAGTGTGAATATTTGAATGGCAGTGTGTTCCTCATGAAAACAAGAGATTTTCTGCATGAAAATTGTGCCAAATGCAGAGAATTGTGTGTAGTGTTTTGAAAAACGTGTGTTTTAGATCTGCAATTTGAGTGTAAAGCAGGAATTGTGCTTGTAGTTCAGCAGAATTGGTTCAGGGGGTTGGTGAATGAGTTACATGTTGTGGTCGTTGTGTCTCAAGTACCAGAAAATGTGTGTAAACAATCGAAAAAAACTGTAATACATAATTAGCTAACTGTGTGATTTGTATTTGTACATTTCTGACATCCCTAAAACTTTGACACACCTCTGATTACAGTAGACATGCATTTTCTGTAAAGCTGCTTTACTGCTTTGAAACGATATTGTGAAAAGCGCAATACAAATAAATGTGTATTGAAGTGAATATAGCACATTTTCTGTGTAGTGAGTTAATGAAGGTCCAAAATATGGAAGACACTGAATTGATTGTTTTTTTCCCCAGAATATCAATGTCCATTAAAGTATGTTTTTTTGTAACAATAAACAATTTATTTGATCAATCGATGTAGGCGTATCCTTGAATCACAGCCGTCCAGTGTCTTGCAATCCCTCAAGCAAACACTAGAGGGCAGTAAAGGACTGCGAACCCGCCGTCCGGACCTGACCAGTTCTGCTGTCCCCTGGCCAGGCTGGAGGACCAGCTTAAAACCTGCTTAAACTAGTATAGTTTGGTTTAAGCAGTTTTTTGCAAAACTCTTCCATAAACCTGCGGTTAAACAGAATCTGTGAACTCAGTGGGGAATCATTTAATGAACTTGAGAATGATCAATTAGAAAAGATTACAAAAAATATCTCACTGAAGTGAGTTCAGATCTCTGTAAAGCTGACAGAGAAAGTTAAAGCTGACCTGAGATCAGTTCTGGATGAAGAACACAGAGTAATGCAGAAAATACTGATTATTATCTATTACAAATTGACATTACAATTACAAACAAATTTCAAATGTGATCGTATGTGTAATTATAGGCTGTTGCACAACATGATCACACACTGTTCTCTGCTTCTGTATCACACTGGAGAGACGTGAAGAGTGTGTGACGTGAATAGTGTGTGACCTACTTGAACAGTGTGTGACCTACGTGAATAGTGTGTGAGCTACTTGAAGAGTGTGTGATCTACGTGAAGAGTGTGTGACCTACAGTATGTGAATAGTGTGTGGAAGTGTAATCTGGAAGTATAACCTGGAAGTGTGATCTGGAAGGTTACACTTACACAGGTTTGGGTGTGTGCGCATGCGCGTGTGGTTTGTGTTTGTAGCTCCGTCGAATTGCTTCATTAATCTTTGATTTTCTTCTTTACCACTCATTAATAAACAAGCACTTTCTATTGAGTGCACTCAATGAGCATGATTCGATGAGCAAAACAATAGGCTCGTTTGAGATGAGCAAAATCTGCGCAATCGATCACCGGTGATCAGCGCGAGATGCATGCCGGTTAGAAATGTGTCCGAGAACGGTCCGCCTGGCTCTAGGCTATGTCATGCCGACGTATGTCAAAAAACTCTCGCGAGCGCAAGGCGGAAGGGTCGGTCTTAAGAGCTCTTAAAGGGTTAGTTCACCCAAAAATGAAAATTAAGTCATTAAATACTCACCCCCATGCTGTACCAACCCCGTAAGACCTTCGTTCGTCTTCGGAACACAAATGAAGATATTTTTGATTAAATTTGAGAGCTGTATAACTACCACATTGGCTCCTAAGGGACTGCCTCTTGACGGCCCAGAAAGTCAATGAAGAAAATGTTTTTAAAATATCCCAAGTGACTACCGTGGCTCAACTATATGTTTATCAAGCGACGCGAATACTTTTTGTGCGAAAAAACAAACAAAAATAACGAGTTTATTCGACTATTTCTTTTCTTCCTTGTAGGCCAGAACGAGACTTCCTTAGATTTCCACGACGCATGTGCGAGAATTGCGATCTGAAGTAGTGTAAGCTGGTGTAAGCAGATCGCAATTCTCGCGCATGCGTCGTGGAAATCTAAGGAAGTCTCGTTCTGGCCTACAAGGAAGAAAAGAAATAGTGATCAAAAAATTCAGATCAAAAGCATGATGGGAAACGACTTGCTGACGACACAGCTTAATGCTCATTGGTTTAAACAACAGTGATGTAGGTAAATTCCATATTCATAAAGCTAAAAGGCTTGTTCGACTTCATGCAGCTCTGCGCAGACCGATCGGTAGCTGACTTGAAGCAGTGCACGCCGGTTAGAAATTTTGTCCGACTTGATGCAGCGCTGACTCCACGTGACTGTGACATATGCCATCAAAGTACCGCGAGAGCAATACGAGAGTAGCCGGAGGACTCAGCCAGCGCAGCTTCTCAAGAGCGGCTGCACGAGCTCTGATGATGTCACAGCTGTTCCACGATTCGCCGGATTCAACGCATGACAACGATCACGTGCGTTTCGTGTTTATTCTCATACATTTAGTTCCACTAAGGCTCACAAATCAGTTTTTTTTATAACAGTAAATAGTCTTTTCATGTATATCGCGATGTTATATTATATTGTATCATGTTTATCATATTATCAAAATAAAACTGATTAAAAAAACGTTGACTCCACGTCATTGAATTGGCTTATTTTGAACTTTATTCTTGTTCAAACAGATGCTGTATGAAGCAGTAACCTTTTGAATGAAAATGTGTCTGAAATATCTGTTTATTTGGCAAATGTTGCATTTATTTCACTTAAGCTGTGGTAAAGCATGAAAACGTCTCGGTTACGTATGTAACCCTCGTTCCCTGAGTAGGGAACGGAGACGTTACATCAGAAGTGACGGAGATTGGGGGATTTCGCATAGAAAGCCAATCCTCTTCGAGTATTTAAACACGAGCCAATGGCATGCAATGCCTTGGGGCTGCGGAAATTTGCATAGCGTACTCCGCCCTACTCCGTGAGTATAAAAGGAGGAAGTGAACGCAACCGCAGTATGTCTTCGCTGAGGAGCCAAGACTGAACTCGGCCTCTACCCAGCGATACAGCAGAAGTGGCAGGGAGACGTAACGTCTCCGTTCCCTACTCAGGGAACGAGGGTTACATACGTAACCGAGACGTTCCCTTTCGTAGTCACTTCGAGTTACGTCAGAAGTGACGGAGATTGGGGGTCTGTGCCATCACGCCATCTTCAAGCTGTCTTCCAGTGCCCTGCGAAAGACTGAACCCCCGAGCCT